AACATTTTAGGGCCTACGGCCGTCTTACCGAGCGGCTTGAGCTGTGCACTACGTCTCATTGGGTCTAGTCGAGCCCCGATCAAAGAGTGCAGTGATCTAGTCCTACTCGTCCAGGCCCCGTGAGTGGCGCAGAAGGAATCTCAATAATAGTCTGCCAGCTGGGTTCCTTCTTTGTCCTACATCTCTGGGCTTTTCTCGAGATACTTTTATCGCTGCCCGCCAAGCACCAGCGACGACAGTATAAGCTCACCACCACCAGAGCATGGACCACGACGACTCGGCCAAGGCCACCGGCGAGGTCATCTCGAAGGCCATCGACGAGAAGCATGAAGTGCAGTCGGAAAAGGAGTCCACGTCGCCCACGACTACCCTGAGTGATAAAGAGAAGGAAATCATCGACCTGCAGTTAACAGCGCCTACTCTCACAGTTGGCTATTTTTCCTTATTTCGATATGCCACCGCCAAAGACAAGGCCATTATGGCTATAGCGTTGATCGCTAGTATTGCGGCCGGTGCAGTAATGCCACTGATGACAGTAAGTAATGCACCAAACCACCACTACTTCCACGTGCCAGACCATGTTTTCCGGGTCATGTCAAGGCTATGGGTTTCGCCAACTACACGAGTTGGCCGTAATTGTACTGTAAGAATACAAAGCTGACTTGACACAGCTTGTTTATGGCAATTTCGCGGGAAGCTTTACTGGCTTCTCAGTCGATGCAGTTGCAGCCGCCAGATTTCAGCATGAAATTGAAAAATTCACATTGTACTTTGTATATCTGGGCATCGGAGCGTTTGTCACCTCATATATCAGTATCATTGGATTTTCGTACACCGGAGAACGCATTACACGAACGATTCGAGAGCTCTACTTGCGCGCCATATTTAGGCAAAACATTGCTTTCTTCGACTTCCTAGGCTCCGGCGAAGTCACCACTCGTATCAGTTCCGACATGAACCTTGTTCAGGATGGTATCGGCCAAAAGATCGGCTTGTTCGTCACTGGAGTCTCCATGTTTGTGTCAGCTATTATCATCGGTTTCATCCGATCCTGGAAACTCTCTTTGATCATGTTATCTGCCACTATTGCACTGATATTGATGATGGGCGTCAATGGTACCCTGATGAAGAAGGCGCAAACTCTATCCATCGACGAATACGCTACAGCTGCTTCCTTGGCCGAGGAGGTGCTGTCCTCGGCTCGCAATGTCGCTGCATATGGAACACAGAAGCGTCTTGAGGAAAAATACAGGGTCTTTGTAGATCGCGCAACTGGGTTCGACTACAGGGCAAAGTTCTGGCTGTCGATGATGATTGCTGGGATGATGGGTGTGCTCAATCTTCAATATGCCTTGGCCTTTTGGCAAGGTAAGCGATTTCTGGACGATGGAGAGCTCGGTGTCTCGAACATTCTTACCGTAGTCATGGCACTTATGATTGCGGGCTTCTCCATTGGGCAGAACTTGCCTCATATCCAGGCGTTCGGTGGAGCTACTGCGGCTGCTACCAAGGTCTTCAACACAATTGAAAGAGACTCTCCCATCGACCCAGAAACTGATAAAGGCATCATACCCGATGACTTTGTTGGAAACCTTGAGTTCAGGAATCTCAAGCACATATATCCTTCTCGTCCAGATACTACGGTGCTCTCGGGTTTCAATCTATCTGTACCCTCCGGCAAGATGGTTGCGCTTGTGGGTGCGTCAGGATCTGGAAAATCTACAATTGTTGGACTTTTGGAACGCTTCTATCTACCAATGGAGGGTCAGATCCTCTTGGATGGAAGGGATATCGCCACTCTGAACCTACGTTGGTTGCGTCAGCATATCGCCATTGTCAGCCAGGAGCCTGTGCTATTCAGCACAACCATCTACGAGAGTATTTTGCACGGATTGGTCAATACCGAGTATGCAAATGTATCAGACGAGAAGAAGATGGAACTTATTGAGAACGCCGCCAAGATTGCCAATGCCCACGACTTCATCATGGACCTCCCGGATAAATACCAAACCAAAGTTGGAGAGCGTGGTGGACTGCTTTCAGGTGGACAAAAGCAGCGAATTGCCATCGCTCGTGCCATTGTCTCGGATCCCAAGATTCTTCTTCTGGACGAAGCTACTGCCGCACTTGATACTAGGTCTGAGAGTCTAGTCCAGGACGCTCTCGACAGAGCATCGCAAGGACGAACAACTATCGTCATCGCCCACCGACTGTCTACTATTAAGAAGGCTGACAACATTGTGGTCATGGCATTGGGAAAGATTGTCGAGCAAGGCACTCATCAAGAACTCATCGACCTCAACTCTGTGTATGCAAGTCTTGTGCAGGCTCAAGAGCTGACTTCCAAGAAAAACACCGACAATAGGATATCGCAACTAGGTGATCCTGAGAAACCAACAGGAGGCGAAGCAGACGATCAGAAACTTGCTTTGTTGCGAACAGCGACATCGGCTCCTTCTGAATTCTTGGCAAAGAAAGACGACAAAGATAGGAACTACGGCGCCTGGGAGCTGATCAAGTTCAGCTGGGAAATGAACGAGGGCGAACACAAGGCAATGACTCTCGGACTGATTTTTAGCTTCCTCGCTGGGTGTAACCCCGCCTTTCAAGCCATCTTTCTTGGTAACTCGATCAACTCGCTCTTGTCGCCCGGAACATCGCTCGGCGGACATGGCGTCAACTTCTGGTGCGGCATGTTTCTCATGCTCGGACTTGTCATCGGTTTCTTTTACTTTGTCCAGGGTCAGACACTATCTAAAGGATCTGCTAAACTCGTCGGTAATGTGCGAATCCGCGCTTTCAGAGCCATGCTTCGCCAGGATATGGAGTTTTTTGACGGCGAAACGGTCACTTCCGGAGCTCTCAGCAACTTCCTATCGTCAGAGGCAAACCGCCTTGCTGGTCTTAGTGGATCCACTCTTGGAACTATTATCAGCGCTGGCGCTTCTATCTTGGTCGCCTTTATTGCCGGGTGCTCTTTTGGATGGAAGCTGGCTCTCGTGTGCTCTTCAACCATACCTCTTGTCATTGGATGTGGTTACTTCCGTTTCTACGCACTCACTCGCATGGAGAAACGAACCCAGGAGACATCCGATGCTGCGAGTTTTGCCTGCGAGGCTGCCTCGTCCATCCGCACTGTTGCGACGCTTTCGCTCGAGAAGCATCTCTTGGCCGAGTACCAAGCTAAGCTGGTAGACCAGGGCAAAGGCTACTTCAAGTTTACAAACGTATCAGCCGTGCTCTATGCTACATCCCAAGGATTGAACATGTTGGTCTTTGCCCTGGTCTTCTGGTACGGAGGTCAACTACTGTTCCGTCGGGAGTACACCGTCTTGCAGTTCTTCATTGTCTATTCCGCGATCATAAACGGTGCTCAAGCTGCTGGATCTATCTTCTCCTTTGCCCCAGATATGGGCGAGGCCAAGGATGCTGCCAAGTTGCTCAAGTCGTTCCTAAACCGCATCCCTAAGATCGATCACTGGTCCCAAGATGGCAAGAAGATTGATCGCCTGACAGGAAAGGTTGAGCTTCAAGATGTACGCTTCACATACCCAGGGCGACCAGACCACCGCGTATTGCGCGGGGTTAATCTCACTGCCGAGCCTGGTCAATTCATTGCACTTGTTGGTGCCTCTGGTAGCGGAAAGTCGACCGTCATGCAGCTACTGGAGAGATTCTATGACCCGACCAGCGGTGCTGTACTTGTTGATGAGGTGCCACTGACTGACTACAACCTCCAAGACTACCGTTCACAACTAGCCATTGTGAGCCAAGAAACCACGCTCTACACCGGCACAATCCGCGAAAACATTCTGGCAGACAAGGAGGAGTTGGGTGATGACGTCGTCATCCAAGCATGCAAAGATGCAAACATCTATGATTTCATCACATCATTACCAGATGGCTTCAACACGCTGGTAGGCGCAAAGGGTGCTCTTCTCTCAGGTGGCCAGGTAAGTCCTTTTCTCCCTATCTTCTCGCAAAACAGCTACTGACTCTCTCCAGCGCCAACGTTTGGCAATTGCCCGTGCCCTCCTCCGCGACCCCAAAGTCCTCCTTCTCGACGAAGCTACTTCTGCTCTCGACTCCACATCCGAGCGCGTCGTACAAGATGCCCTTGACTCCGCTTCGAAGGGTCGTACTACAATTGCCATCGCACATCGATTGAGCACAATTCAACACGCGGATGTAATCTACGTGTTTGACCATGGCAAGATTGTCGAGAAGGGTCGACATGACGAGCTGGTAGCCAAGAAGGGCGTGTACTATGAGCTCGCAAAACTGCAAGCCATTGGAGCACCGCAGTAGTTTATACCGTTTTTGATGCATAGAGCCATGTTGGACATATATATTGTAATACCTTTTTTCGGCTGGGTATCTGGGCTGGTAACCATATCTAAGAACATACACATAGACGGCCTTGTAACGGCCTTTTTGTAAATAACAGTACACGTTGAATTGCACCACTCGGTATTTTGGAACCGCAACCAGAAATTTCTCAAGGCTATTCCTCTTTTTGCATTGCGATGATGTCTTCACTTTACGAACCACGTTATGGGAACATGGTTTCACGTGAGCACGAGTCCATCGGCCCATTTGATAAGACGCGCATGGATCCACAAGAGATACCATTCCAGCCTCTGTGCCAACAAAAAATGCAATATAGAGCGTCAAAGCAGCAAACATGGCCGCATTGAAGTCTGTTGTCTCTATCGAATCCGCCAAGCACAGCTGTTGCCGCAGCCGAGCTCAACGCTTTCAGGCGTCCATCGTCGCATCGACCACCACCGTTCGCGCCTCGCCATGACGGAGCACTAGCACAACAGGCACACTTCTGTGCAAACCCAAGAAGAGGGGAGCCGTAACCGTGTCTTCAAAAGCACGCTCACCCTCCTGAAACGTCCTTGAAAAATAAATCCAACACACGACTTCGCCCGCGGCGCAAAACAAACAAACAAAGAAAAAGAGAGGAAAACACCATCAACAATCAAACACGAGACATGCCCAAATCCAACGGCTGTCGCACCCTCCTCCTCCTCACCCCACCCCTCCTCTTCCTCTTCCCCACCGCAGCCCTAATCTCCATCCTCGAACGCATCTCAAAAAACACCTTCTATTCCAACCTCCAACGCAGCTTTCGCACAGGTGCCTTCCAACTCGTCCTACCACGACCGGGCGGCGGCCCGGACATCGGACTGAGCCTCGACTTCAACCACGCACCCATCCTCGCCATACTCGGCATCTGCGTAATCGCGTATGCGGTAACTGTGCTGAGCGCAGCGGGGATATGGCAGTTGAAGAAAGTCGAGGGCACGTCTCGACATGAGCGGGTGTGGGTGTGGGTAGTGCTTATTGCGAATGTGATTATGATAGGTGTGAGTTTGGGGGGGTTCGGATATGCAACTAGCGTGCAGGCGAGCGATGGGACGTGGAGGGATTACGAGGATGCAGGGAGGCCGGATCAGGAACTTACGCGGGAGACGTGGGCGTGTCAGATTCACAGTTTATTCCCTGGTGAGGGATGGGCGGGCACGGCGTGTGGGACGAGTCAGGCTATGCGGTATTTGCTGTTGCCCATGGCAGTGGCGGCCATGGCGGTGGTGGGGAGTCTGTGGGTGCTGGTGAGGGGGAGGGGAGGGCTGAAGTGGTTGTTTGGAGGAAAGGGAAGGTATGCTGGGTTTCGTGGGGCGTATGAGTTGCAGCCTCAGGAACAGGGTACGGTGTATTCGGGGCCGCCGCCGCCTGTGCAGTGGCAGGGACAGCAGGGCCAACAGTGGGCGCCGCAGACGTATCAACCGTATGGCCAGCAGTTGTATGGTCAACAACCTGCTCAGCCATTGGCACCGCAGCCCCAGGTCGTGGCCCAGGTGTCAAAGTCGGATGCTAATGTTGAGCAGCGCCCTGTCTACCAGTGATGTGCAATCTTGTTCATATTCCAAGCCATATACTTCACCTCTGCATATACTTTTTACCTGTATTGACCGCTTTCGCGGCATTTGGTTCTACGTATATCTTGTAATTGTCACACACCTCTATTTCTCACACAGCCATTGTTTCCCTGTTTCACTGCCAATCCGTTGCGAGAAGGAGTAAAGGCTCATCTCACATCCATTTATGCGAACGTCGAATATGGGACTTCACTGCTTGACTTTTTTGAATATCAAAAGTAGTTACTAGCTCCGAAATTACAAACTACAATATTTATACCTTGTGAAGGCCAAATTCTATGCTACTTTCCAATCCCTCAATAAATCACTACAATTCTTTTTTTTTCTCCCACCCTCACTCACACCCCGTCTGATTAAACCTGACAACCTCCGTCGCATTCGACCCCAACGCTACCGCCCTCTCCACCCACGCCTTGATACTCTCCTCAGCCGGCTCCCTCACTCGACTAAGAATATACAGCGTATTCCACTCCTGCGTCTGCACAATCGCCCAATCAACCGCGTAATCTGTTTCTACATCAGCATCTGCTTCATTCTCTTTTCCCTTTTTCCCCCCTTATACTTGCGAGTCTAGGAGAGAGACAAAAGTGAAGTTAAACATAACGTACCTTGAACGATGTAGTTGGGTCCAGGACACACGCTACCCTGTCCCACGGGCGGTGTCCCAGGAAAGCTGACTGTGAATGTGCCGGCGAGTCCGTACGCGGGGGGCGCAGGGGTAGCAGTGCCCTCGATGCTGAAGGTTGAGGGGCCGGCGGATGCGGAGTTGAGGACGCGGACGGTGCCGTTTGCCTGTTCCGTTGTCAGTATTTTACATTAACATGAATAATATCAACATCAACACCGATAATAGTTCGTATGTTGACATTTATTGAAGTTGTATTTTTTTGGGGGAAGGTCTAAGTAGAGAGAGAGAGAGAAAAAACGCACATTGAGCGAGTAATTCGCAGTCACACAGCGGGCGCCGGCGGTGGGACCAAAGGGTGTGCCGGCGACTTGGTACCAAGTCCCGAGGTAGCTGTTGAGGTTGAAGGTTGGGTCTGGGACGGGGTAGAAGCAGGTTCCGTCGTATTGGGCTGCGACAACTGACGGGTTGGTGGAGTTTGTTGGGGTGTTACGGGGTATGAGGGTGCAGGAAGCTGTGGAGGCTAGGGTGAGGATTGTGTTTTGGATACGCATTTTGAATAAGTATGTATGGAATTAGGGAAGTAGGATGGTTGGAGGGGTTTGGGGAGTGCAAAAAAAAAAACAGGTAGAGTAGGCAGGGTACCGTGGAATTTGTAGTGTGGGATTTATTTTATATTCATTGACTTTTTTTGCTCTGCAGTTTAAACTTGGTTGCAAGTTTTAGTACATCTAATTGTCGTAGTGAAATTACTAGGCAAAAGCCACATTTCGCTTCCCTACGGACGTAGGAGTCCAGAAAGGAAATGGGAATATGCACGTATCCCGCACGCGAAATGCGGGTGCACGAGAGATGCATTAGAAAGTTAGCCAAGCATATACGCCCGGGCTGTGCTATAGGCTCGGATGAGCCCGGTACCTGGACTATTACTAAAAGGTAATGGATATGTGTAACCGAGGCATGCGAATCGAGTTGTCGATGATGTGGATGCGAGGCTGGGGGTAAACTAGGCGATGGCGAAGGTTGGGTGATGACGTCGTGCGGGCTTGGCAATGGGAGCGCAGGTGAAGTTGCATGCCGTCTGCCGTATTTGACCGTATTTGCAATTGTGGATTCTAGAAGGAGAAATATCTCAGTCGTCGAATATGTGCCGTGCTGCCGTGTAGTCAATAAGTCAGATCATGTCAGGTGCCCTGATCAAGGCCTGACGAATTGTACAGTAAAACTTCAGAAACTAAGTAAGAAGCTGCATTGGGTAGCTAGATGGTAACCGGCTAACTTCTTGCACTCTTCTCATAACAACAAGCGCTCCGCGAACAGCAACAAAATCATCACGGTTTACAATATCACATGAATATAGAAGAATACCGAAGTCGCTCAATGAACAGCGCGTATGCACCTACTGAAACCTCTATGGTTTTCAAACTCACCCATCCTTCTCTTTCTTTTTCTTTCGCAACCAAAAACGAAAAAAAGGGGGAGGAAGGAGGGCTCAAGTCGATGACCCAGAAGTTACCATGTGATCCGAAATTTCAAGTTACCAAACTCCAACTCACAGTTCTTGTTTTAAAAAAACCCCCACTTTTCGATAGGAGAAATTGGAGAAGAAGAAGGGCATAGATGTATTATCGCAAGTGTCTACTTGCCTACGCGAACTGTCCCTTTCCCCAACACTTTACCCCCACAATTTCCAACAAAGACCCCAAGATAGACAATACGAAAGAAGAATGGCAAAACCCCCCCTTCCCCACGTGGTAGTACAGCTACCGCCACCATTCACTATCAAAAAGGTGTTAATCACCACCACCAGTATTATCAAAAGTAACAAAAAATTTCGTGCCAGCCAACGAGCCCGGTTTCGCGTCAGCCAACGAGCCCCCTTCCGCAACAGCGAGTTGCCCCATAAACCTATAACCCTCGCTATTACGACAACCCTCTGGCATCAGCTTCTCGAAAAACTGAAAAAGATATCCATAGCAATCTTCCACCCTCCAGAAGACAGGTGTATCTGGAGTGCCATTTACCCGCCCCCCAGGCCTTACTACAACTGCGGTAGTAATATCCGTTAGCCAATGGCTTCAGATTTTTTAAATTCCAACTCAAAAGGGGGGAGGAGGAACTTACACATGATCGGTATAAGCTGCCAGTCAGTGCCGTTGTGCCTAACCGCATCGACGTTCGGCGGCTTGTAGTACTTGTTGCCGTCGAGCGGGTAGTCGACAGTTGCGCTGCAGATAGTGCCGTTGGAAAGGCGGTCGCGGAATGCGCACTCAGGCATCATAGCTACACAGGCGTTGTGGATTACAGTTTCGATGGGATCGCTGCGCACGAAGCTAACGCGCCATACGGGGTCGATGCTGGTCTCGCAAAATGATCTGGTGCCGGGCATTGGTTTCCAATCATAGCTCTTGCTCGACATGGTGATCGGGATTGTGTTGATGCGTGAGGCGAGGGCGCTGGCGCTGGCGGCCAGGGCACTGATGAGCAGGGTGAAGTGCATAGTGACTTATGGGTAAGAAGTGTTAAAGGTCTGGATCAGACCGGAGAGAGAGGGAGAGAAAGGTGAAGATAAGGCCAGGGCTTCCTAAAAGGAAATCCTATTTAAGCGGTCTTGAACTTCGAAGAGCAGAGCAGGAAGCAGGAGCGACAGACGTTGGATAGTAGATGGGGGGGCACTACTAAATATTTAGCAGCGAAGATATAAGTTTACATACTAACTAGCGAATAGTAACCCGTGATATTACGGCAGGGGCAACGTCTCGGCACAACCTATGGGGATGTGCGTAAATCAGGTTCAAGATGCGGAGGTGACGAGACGAGCCGTGCACCTGTAAGAATGACGGATGATGTATATGTTTCTTTGTTTCGAAGGGGGGCTTTCTGCGAAAAAAAAAAAACAGTCTCTTGTGGGAGGGCATGAGCTTGGAGTGACGTGCGACGGGTGTGTGTTGAAACCATGGGCGGAATCTTGTGCATGACGGCGTGACCTTCAATTCACACCCTAATTGACCATATGAGTAGTATGGAAATAGGGATGGACAGCGTGTGGGGTAAAAAGGTCCCTGCACCAAACGATCGACGGATGTGCCGAGCATTTTCGAGTAAGTAGTGTTCTAAACACCAGCTGACAGTGTCTGTGTATTTGCCCATGCAATTGCCCTATTCAATCACTTGGAACGAGTCTGCCGTCTCTTTTCTGCTGTACAGGACGACCAGGGGCTCGTGCACATGGCTGTCAGATGCATCGTTCTCCGCTGATGTATCTTGGCCAACAGACACGACCAAACATTGGGCAGTGCGGCCTGTTTGGGTCATGGTGATGAAACAACGAAGAACGAAAGGGAAGGGTATCATCCGCCAAGACACACTAACCTTTCCCTTCAATTTCACGTGTTCGCGATTGGCTGCAGTGGCACCGCACTATATCCCGTGGTGCAGGAACTCTAAAAGATAAATCGAAACAAGAACCCATCTATGTGCACCTATTTATATTATAGGATCTGCAAAGGCTTATAAAGTTGGTTTCTTGGGGCTGGAAACAGACGAACAACAACGGGCTTTTACTACTATCTGTGCGCCTAAGCCTTTTTTCATGTATCTCATGATTCAATATCAAAGGCTGCGTTATACGTATGTGACATGTTAGCAAGAATGAACTCAACCGGGTAACCGAAATTACATGCTCATAACCACTTGCTCTGCATGTCTCATCAAAAAACGGCAGTATGCCCAACGCAAGCTACGTACGTACAGCCACACTTGATGCTGTAATTCCCGCCACTCGCAACTCTCGAAATCAGCTACACCCTTTCTCAGCATTAAGAGTTGGCTGTTTTTTCATGCAGGGCGTAAAACCCGGCTTATCAGCGCTAAGTACCCCAAGATGCGGGTCTTTTCTCGATAAGGCGGGCTGCTCTTAGCCACAAGTGGCATACCGCTTACATACAACCACCTCGCTTTTTCGGGTTGATTGGACAGAGATGCAACTTTCTCCACTGGAACAACAGATGCGTTTGGTCAGTCAGCTGCGGCTGGGAAGAGATGTGAGGCAGTCAGACAGGCAGCCATTCTTATCGTAGGTAGTTATAAAGAAAAGGTATATAGGTAGTTAGCAGTGGTAGTAGTAGTCAAGAATCAAATAAACAACCTCCTCTTCCCCCAACCACACACACAACTAATCCCCCTAACTTGAAAGCCATAATGGCAACCACAACTCCCAAAACCCCATGGGCCGACACTCCCTTCGCCCTGCTAAAAATCCCCGGCACCCCGGGGGCACCCACGAGCTCAAACCCCGGCATCCTTCACGTCTGCATCGAAATGGCAAACGTCCACAACCTGCTTCTTCGCGGGTTAAATTCCATCTACAACCAAGCCCCTTTTGTCACGCTGCCTGGCGACATCTCCGACCTCATGCTGTACACCACCGCATGGGCTGATACCATTCACCACCACCACTCCGCCGAGGAAACGCTATTTTTCCCGCGGGTCGAAGCGCTGGCCAAGGCGGCGGGGCAAGAGTGCGATATGGCGGGGAATGTGGCGCAGCACCAGGGGTTTGAGGGTGGGATGGCGGAGATGGTGGCGTGGGCTAAGCGGGTGAGAGATGGAGAGGTGCAGTATGATGCGGAGGTGCTAAAAGGGTTGATTGATGGGTTTGCGCCGTTGTTGACGCGGCATTTGCATGAGGAGATTGAGACACTGGTGGGGTTGGAGAAGTGTGATGGGGAGGAGGTTAGGAGGGCGATGAAGGAGACGGCTGATGAGGGGGCCAAGACGGCGGATCCGGTATGTATTTTTTTTCATTTCCCTTCATATTTACCCCTATCTCTACGATTTCTGTCTTTTGAGGTTCCAGTGCTGATTCTTGGGGTGTGGGTAGAACCTTGTCATACCGCTGATCATGGGTTGTCTGGATAAGAACTATCCGGGCAGTGAGGACTTTCCTCCCCTACCGTTCTTTGTGCCTTGGTTGAATGCGTACTGGTTTTCGAGAAAGCATGGTGGGTGTTGGAGGTTTAATCCGAGTGATCACTGGGGAAGGCCACGACCGTTGCATTTTTTGAAGTGATGGAAGGTGAGTGTTTAATGTTGTTGCATGGGTAATGGGCATATTTGTTACGTCTGCATGGGCTTGCAGTAGATTTTTGTTGAATCGAATTATTGGTTGATGCTTGGCATATATGGTACTGGAGATGGATACCGAGTTTGGTCTTGTAAGCATTTGCTTCCAGCATGATTGTGTAGTCTCAAAGTAGATGGTGCAAGTTAATGGCGTGCCAATAAAACTCATGTCTTAGCCCTATAGATGATATGTCAGTTGGCTCTCAGGTAGTTCCTGAGAATATGCAGTAGTGATTTTAACATCTAGGCGTGTAGAAGGAATCTTGGCGCTTCAGGGCATTGGTATAAAATACTAGTGGGAATTGCTTGAATGTAATGATTTTCGCTGAAGAGTAGCTCCTGGAATTGGAAAAGTAAGTAGAAGAATGAAAAGCGAGTGAGTGGAAATTTTGGTCAGGCTTGAAGAACATTCAAAGTGAGGCTTGGTAGTAGCGTGGAGTAGTGCGGATGCGGGGTTGAGATATGCTTTTCCAGTCGATAAGAAGACTATATCTGCTGATTTCTGCAGACTCTGAAAGTTCCATGGATTTGCACTACCAGTAGCAGTTTTATCGTAAGAAGAGAAAATACAAAAAGATTCCCCTCCATACCCTGCAGACGTCAAGTTGCAGGCGCTAGCACGTGATGCGGTGAGAGGACCCCTGCCAACAGTGCCGAAAGCGCGTCGTGAACTTTCGCGACTCAAGCAGGAGCTCCAACTGGGGAAAGTAGCCACGACAGCAACCCCCCCGCCAAAGCAACTGCCCAACTGTTACCCCTCGCCGCCGAAACCAAGCTCGCAAACCGCAGATTGTCACATACTCGGACCACCCATCACTACCGTCCTCCCCGCCGTCCCCGCCATGGGCTCTCGATTACACAATGCACCGATTGTGATTGACAACGGCAGCGGCACGATCCGAGCAGGGTTCGCAGGCGAAGATGTGCCCAAATGTTTCTTTCCGTCATATGTAGGGAGGCCAAAGCATGTGCGGACAATGGCAGGCGCATTGGAGGGAGACGTATTCATAGGGCCGCAAGCACAGCAATACAGGGGGCTGTTCAAGATCAACTACCCATTGGAGCACGGCATTGTCACAGACTGGGACGACATGGAGCGGATATGGCAGTATGTGTATACGGAGGGGTTGAGGACAGTCAGCGAAGATGTGAGTGTGGTTGGGGAAGCAGATGCAGCTATTTGCGACTATTTGGAGGGGCACCGAGCTGACTGTCACATTTACTAGCACCCAGTACTGCTCACGGAGCCTCCACTGAATCCGCGCGAGAACCGGGATACGGCAGCGCAGATTCTGTTTGAGACGTTTAATGTACCTGCGCTGTATACGTCTGTGCAAGCGGTGCTTTCGCTGTACGCCTCTGGCAAGACGACGGGTCTGGTGCTAGATTCAGGAGACGGTGTATCGCATGCGGTGCCAGTGTTCCAGGGATTCGCGATACCAAACAGTATCAGAAGGATTGACGTGGCAGGCAGAGACGTTACGGAGCATCTTCAACAATTGCTTCGGAAAAGCGGGCGCATCTTTCACACGAGCGCAGAAAAAGAGACAGTCAAGAATATCAAAGAAGCAACAGGCTATGTGGCGCTTGACCCTGCCAAGGAGGAGAAGGACTGGTCAGGGTCTTCGAGGTCAGAAGGCAAGAGCATCGACTACACGCTTCCGGATGGACAGAAACTGCGGGTGAGTTGTCGACTTGGATGGCGTCGAGGATGGCGTCGACTTTGTGGGACTAGCTGACGGGCCTAGGTTGGAGCGGAGCGCTTCCGAGCGCCCGAGATATTGTTTAATCCGGAGATTATTGGTCTAGAATATCCTGGCGTGCACCAGATTGTGGTGGAGGCCATTCACCGAACGGACATGGATCTACGCAAGGCGCTATACGGCAACATTGTGCTGTCGGGTGGGTCTACACTGACCAAGGGGTTTGGAAACCGGCTGCTCCACGAGGTGCAGCGACTGGCGGTGAAGGACATGCGAATTAAGATACTGGCGCCACCGGAGCGCATCTACACGACGTGGACGGGCGGCAGTATTCTGGCAGGACTGAGCACGTTCAAAAAGGCAAGTGGTGCATGATGTTATTTGCAAGGGAAGTGATGTGCTGACTGGAGGTATGCAGATGTGGGTGGAAAAGGACGAGTGGCAGGAGAACCCGGACATTATCCATACCAAGTTTGCATGAGGAGTGAATGCTGTGTGACGATGGAGGAGCCGGAGCATCAGCAGCATCAGCAGCAGCAGTTTGGCGGTCCCGCTGGTGCCCGTCTGGGCAGGGCAAGGCAAGGCAAGCAGTGGTAGTGTAGTTGGGAGAAGGCTCGGGGGTCGAGACAGTGGTAGTGCAGCCGGAGTTGCAGTTAGTCATGGAAATGGGAGAGGGGCGGCCGGGGTATTGGCAACCATGGGGCAGCAGCAGCGGGGCATGGGAGGTCGGTTGGATCTACGTGTCAGCCGGTAAGCGTGGCTCGTCAGCGGGAGAGCTACTGTAGTCGCCTGCCTCCCCCGCATTTCAGAGCGTTTCTGTTACTTAAGCGCGATGCGGGTTGGGCATGGTTATGTAAGTAGGACCAAGGGGGTCGATTTGACGAGTGAAGGCATCATGGCAATGAGGAGGGCATGCATGGGTGGCGTTTGCAAGGGCTCGGGAATACCCCCCAACGGATTATGAAGCGCAGCTGTGTAGACAAGAATGCCAGAGTGAAACGCAGGTTGCAGATGGGCAGACGTGCTCTTTGTTTGGTGTCACACGTACTGTGTTGTGGGTTTGTAAGGGGAGGGAGGGGGCAATGGAAAGGGCCGTGTTGCAGGGCGGCTAGAGTGAGTGAGGGCGAAGAAGACGAAGAGGGAGAAGAAAGGAGACGGTGGGCGAGGGCGAGAGCGAGGCGCGGATGCCAAGGATCGTGAAAAGATTGGAGGCTATGGTGTGATGGGCAAGGTGCAGCGGCCCCAGCTCCCATGCGTGTACCTGATGACACCTGGAATTGGCCGGCCGGACAGAGGACCGCGACACGTATGTAATGTACCGACCGTGTGCCAGTGCAGTCGTCGCCCAGACGTCACGATGCTCGACGTCATGCGCCCTGGCAGCCGTGGCCATAGTCGCCATAGTCGCCCGGGTGGGAGGAGTGTGAGTCGTCCATTGGCGTCAGATCAGTCAGCAGAGAAAAGACAAGGACAAATTTTGCACGACAAGGACTCTCTCTCTCTCTCTTACACTCACACTGCCCACGTCACAGCTCATGCCAGGCACCGCAATGGCCCGCTAATAACACAAAATTTCAAAACCGGGCCCTCCGCCTCCTTGGTCGCGCTCCCGCCTCCACAATATGTGGGCATTTTCCCCCCCTTGGGCGAAGCTGCTAGTGGTTGCAGCGGAGGCCGTGTCCGGTGGGTGGCATGGCGTAATGGGGCTCGATCGCACGCGTTGCTGCACCTGACCCTTTCCCCTGGCAATCTCTTACCCCCGAAAAACTGCGCCCGGCCAATCACCGCATTTTGAGGGGGTAATGGTAAACTACTCATGGCGCTGCGAAAATTCCTACTCTGGGCCGGGCGAGGCCACGCATGATCGTTAACTTGCCGTTAACTGCAAAGTCGCTCTCACCCTCCCAAGCCTTGGACCAAGCCTCGTGCGCCTTTGGTTCGTTTGCGTTGCGTGGCGCCGAAAATTCTGGTAGCCTGGCCCTGCACCGGACGTCCTGTTGACGCTCATCGTGACCAGCCCGCCTTGTTTTGTTATATAAACCCTCTTACCCCAGATGCTTTGTCTAGTACCACTACTACACTACTGCCCAGTCTGACTTTACTTGACTTTACTTGACTCGACTCGATCCAATCTACATACCATCAATTCAACCTCCAACACCAAACCACATCCATCAACAATCACCGCCAAAATGGTCAACTTCCACATCAACGAACCTCACCCATCCGCCTCCAGCTACATGTACTCTGGTCGCGGCGGTGCCGGCAACGCTATGCGCGTAAAGCCCACCGAAATCACCCCAGGCGCTACTGCCTCTGGCCCTGCCTCGCGCACCAAGCTGCCTCCTCCACCATCAAACGCCTTTTACGCTACCGGCCGTGGCGGTGCTGGCAACATGCGCAAGTCCGAACGTGCCATCTTCAGCTTCGACGAGGAGCTCCAACAGCAAGAGCGTCTGCGCTCCCAGCAAGCCCCCGTCTACCACATTGGCCGCGGCGGCGCCGGAAACCTCGTCGACGAGATGAAGCCCCGAACCCACCGCCAGAGCTCCTCCTCTTCCGCCTCCAGCTCCTCGAGCGTCGAGAGCGAAAAGGATGGTGTCCGAAGGAGCGTCGAGCACGCATGGCAGCGTCTCAGCAGGCAATTCTCTCACTAGACTTTTGCCTGTCTCTCCGCCCCCTTCTGTTCGACTTCACTTCTCTGTCACTATTCAACATTCACCTCTCTACTACTACCCTTACGATCTTGATTCGAGAGCTGGTCCTGATTCTCTCTTATCAACCTCGACCTTTTTTTCCAATCCATTAGCAACGGCGTTTCCTCAGAGCAAGTTTCTCCTTGCTCAAACTGTATAACCAACCAACGATCAAAAAGTTTCCTGTTTCATTCTACTACTATTACCACTACCACTCTTACTATTTTATCTTTACGACAACCCAAACAACTACCATCGAGGAGCCAGGCGCCACCCTCCGGTCATATCGAAATCAAAAGTCCCTCTGTTTCTTTTGATACCCGGATCGCACCACTCGTCCTCTGCTCTTGTCAAGAGAAAGGGCTTGTTCCTTTTTTTTTTTGCTTTATTCTTGTCTTTTGCTTGGTTTGATCTTTTCGTTTTGGCATGGAAAGCGGTGGATATGCACCATACCCCTACAGAATTCCTTTTTTTGAAGTTTTCCCTAGCTAGCAATTGACTAGATGACCAAGAGTTAATCTACATAGCGGGATTGACAATAATCATGATATGTTCAATTCTTCATCATTTGTCCCTTTTAGTATGATCTTTTTTTGGTGATGTGTACAAAAGTGATCAGCAAGAGCCTCGATTCTACCCTGCCTGACTCAAAAATAAACTTTTTTGCCCCAAGTTCTAAGATCTAGATTTCCCACAAGCCACGGCATCCGGTAAACGAGCGGCCTGTTCGAGTCATGTACTTTTTTAATTTTCCGAAGGGAAAAAAAATATTCGGAGTGAAAAATCATGCTTACTAGTAGGCCAGCTGGCAATGCGATTTTTTTACAACACGGCATGACGTATGGAAGCCGCAAAAGAAAAGAAAAGTCATCAAGACAAGGAAAAACGGGCAACTTGCGCAAATGACCACTTGCCATGCATGCATGGCAACCCACGCCTTCCAACCAGGAAAAATAAACAGAAAAAAAAATCTCAAAAAATCTCTGCACCACAAGACCCCCCCCTCCCCAAAATCAAAAAACATCCCCTAACCCGCTGACCCCTTCCACCTCAGCCAGCCTCGGCTTCTCCGCCCTCGCTTCGCTTCGCCCTCTTCCCCCCCCCCACTCCAACTAACCCCAAACCCAGCCCCAACCGCCGCTCCCTAACACTAACCCACGGCAACCACCCCAGACTTCCTCTCTCTCTCTCTCTCTCTCTCTTTCTTTCCAGTCTAGTACCAGAATGAGCAAATCCGGAGAAAAAAAAAGAGTGTTTAAAAATAAAAATAAAAAATGGAAGAAAAGTCCCCGGAGCTAGGACTGGAAAAAGTGTAGTATGTCAACATATTTTCCGCCGGAGTTTAGTCCGTTTGTCCACACGTGGATAGTATAGAAGGGTGAGAGAGATTCTAGATTTTTGCGAAGACGGGGGTGGCGCGTTGAGAAGGGCCTTTTTTTTTATATTTTATTTTAGGAAATACGAAAATTTCCTACGGGAAGAAGAAGAAAAAAAGATGGAGGATTGGATAGTAGTAACACATTTTACCAAAAAAAAACCCCCCCTTACGTCTGCTTCAATTTAGTCTCGTAAACGTATGTGAGAAAGGCAAGGAGATACCAAAAAAAAGAACGAGTTTCGCATTACAATATATGCTCTAAAAACCTTGGTATCTCCATTTCCACACTTGCTATGTTTTTAAGTTATATCAAGAAAAGAGAATGCTCGAGACACACACACAGAGAGAGAGAGAAGAAGAAGAAGAAGAAGAAGAAGAAGAGAGACTACTCATACATATTATCAAGTATTCCTCTGTCCACTCCCCCTTCAAAAAAAAACTTTCTTTTTTGAGAAATGCATTTTTCAACCTTCCCCTTCAAAGCAAAAACACACGCTCAAAAAAAAAAAAAACTACCTCCTCACAGGCCCCTTACTCGCCGCAGCACTAACCAACATCTTGAACCCATTCTTCAGCGCAACCATATCAGGATACACATGCTTCTGCAACTCAAACGCATTCGGTACCACTTTAATGCCCCATGCACCTTTAGGCCCCTTGGCGCTCATCTGGAAGCAGATCCAGAAGTGACCGGGGTACTTGGGCATGCTGCAAAACGCGTACATTGAGCGAGACGGGTTGGCTTCGCAGTAGTTTTCTAGCCATTTTTCTGTTTCAAGTCAGTATATGTCACAGATACAAGTAGAACACTATGAACATACCGGTATCCTCCCGAGTACCTGGCTGGAATCGCTCGTCTCGGGTGAGCTCCGTGACCTTGCGAGCCATGGCCTCGACGTGATTGACAATCAACTCGTCGAGATCCGAATACGTGTGCTTTCCAATCTTGAGCTGCTTGCCGAGTGAGAATTGGTTGGCCTTGTTCATTTCCAGTACGTCGAGATGTTGATAGGCGTTGTTGGAGACCTTCCATGTTACGACCAAATGGTCGAACCCCTTGGACGACGGCCGGATGACGAGATCGCCCGTTTCCTTGCCACCGAGGTACTCTTCCGCTTGGACTGTGTTGAAAGAGAAGAAGAGAGGGTGGTTGACGACACGGTTGGGTCGGCCAGATGCAACCTCCTTTTCCTTCTCGGCCGCCTTCTTGTCCTGCATCTCTTGTGCTTCGTCCCACTCACCAGCTGCACGGTCGTAAGGCTTCTTTTGCGGTTGTCGGATGAGATCATCTCGAAGCGACAACTGTGCAGTAAGGGCTTTACGGTTGAGATAGACAATACGCGCGCGCACAATCTGGTGACTTGAGTAGACGTGACGAGGCTCCTGTCCGCCACTGCCAACGCCCTCTGGGAACTCTGATTCCGACACGCCACCTTCAATTCCACACTCGAGTTTGACTTCAATGTGGTCGGGGAATGTTCGCTTGATGGTAACGGGAACAACCATGCCTTCATAGAGAGACTCCTTTGTCTCACCAGTCAGCATGGTGAACATCTCATCACCAGACAGTAGCGCAAAGATTTGTCGAATCTCCTCGTAAGGGTTGTCCAGTTCGGCTCGGATCGTCTCAAGAGTGGCACGCTTGCGCTGTCCGAAATTCCTTTCAATCTCGGCGGCATAGTCTTCCAGAGCCAGGTCGTTGACTAAGTCAGTAGTCTCTTCCCGTACCATCTTTCTGACAACGGCACTAGGACCACCCTCGTCAGTCTCTGCCTTGACATCCTCCTCGTCCATGTTCAGTGCATCAGCGACCATCTTCCGTGCCAGATCGTAGTCCTCAGGATGTACACGTGTGTAGTCTAGGTAATCAGATGACTCTTCAGTCGGGTCGTAAGGAATATACAAGAAACTGGCACAATTTTGGAAGACCTTGGGGCCCATAGCCGCCTTGAGGTCGCGCGACTCGGATACACCGAGAAGATCGAATCGTGAAAGAATCTCGTCGCTGTTGGCTTGGATAGCCTTGATCAGCCTGTCGGCCTTACGAGGTCCCAAACCGCACACATATGGTATTAGTTTCGAAAGGTACTTGTCGTCATAAGTCTCTGGCAAGTCGATACCAACGAGGTTGACCATGTCGACCATGGCAGTGTCTAGTCGGTCCAAAAGCTTCTCCTGGGGTATCAAAGTCTGGTTCGGAATGAAAGGAATAGAAACAATGTCGCGGCCGAGCGATGCGTACTCGGCGAGTGGGTTTTGCAGATATCTTCCCAGGGCAATGCAGTACCTTGTGAGCGCAGGGTACTTGGGGAACTCTGCAGCCGCCCTGGCACTGGTGTGGTACAAACGAGCAACTTCGTCGTTGACCATGATGACCTCCAGAGGCTCGTTTCTCTCTTCACCAGTATCCTCATCCTCGTACGCAGGGCCAGTCAGGTTTCGTTGACTGATGATTTCCTGAATGTCCTTGTACAGCTTGCGAGTCTCAACCGAGAAGCCACTGACACCAATGACATCTGGGCGTCGACGCTGGATAACATCAACCAACTTTTCGATATCTTGTCCTTCGGGGATACCACGTTCAGCATTGCCCAGGCGCATCTCGACTAGTCGACCCTGCTCTAGGACACGACCGTCGTTCTCCACATAAGCCCACATGATGGCGTCTCCACGCTGACCCTTGCCGTTGGACAAGCAGAGGACATTTGGAATTGAGCCAAGAGGGGCGCTCTTCAACTTGTAGGGTGCCTGATCAAGTTTGTTGTAGTAGTTTTCTCTCGCTGAAGCCGCAAGCTCATCCTCACATCTGGCACGCAGAGTCTCCTTGACACCGTTTGCAATGACGGTCTGAAGCTTGTCAAGTGCGACGTTGAGCAGCTCCTTACGGAGAGCATTCCACGTATCAGAAACCTCACTGACACCGTCAGAGACGATCTTCTCTTGCAAACGAGCCTTGAATTGTGCGTAGTTGCCCATGGAAATCTTGACTTGCACAAGGCCTTCAGATTCAGCCTTGAGCATCTTCAAAAACAGATCTGGGCGACCCTGAAGATCCGAAAAGGTGACTCTGCGGAGATACTTAAACTCGTAGTAGGGATGATCCTCGGTGATCTTCCGCATGCCCTTGTCAGTGCGAATGCAGTCAATTTCGGCATTCTGGTAGAAGCTGCCACGCAAGTATCGGCGCAACCGCGAGCACATTTGTAGATCTTGGACAAACAGTAGTTTTGTGGACCTCAAAAGGGTAGCGCCCGTTTCCGGAGCTTCGGCAAGCTGATCGGCGAGCTCCTCGACCTTGTATGGAGGGTCTTCAATGGTATACGCGCCTCTGCTCGTTCCATCAACCTTCTTCGCAAAGTCTTCGGGTGTGATGCCAATTGCCTTAACGAGTTGATTAGCCTTGCTGCTTCGCAGCTTGTCGAAGAAGCTTCGGGCGTTGTTGGCACGCTTCTGTGTTCCGTTGACTTCTTGTCGAACCTCGTTGATTTCCTGAGAGTATCGGTAATGCAGGTAGTCTTGGAGCTCTTGGATTTCTTCAATGGTAATGGCCCTGGAAGACAACTCGTCAATCTCAGTGTCGTTAATTTCAGGATAGACGCTCTTCAGGTTCTCGTAGTTCTGCCTGAGAGCATCACGCTTTTCAGCAAAAGCCCTGAACTTGAGGTCGAAATCAAATACCTCCCACAAGTCGGCCTGGTTGAGCAGACGCTCTGGCCGAGCATCCATAGGTGGCGGATTGTCTATATCATCAAAATCATTGTCGCTCGGCGCATGAATGAGGTAGTCTTTTCGGTGGTTGAAGATGAAGGGAACTTCATAATCTTCCAGGTTGATAAACTCGAGAACCTTTCGCACAGCCTTCTCAAAAGGCTGCAAAAAGTATCTTGGAAGACCCTTCTTGGGCCACAGCATATTACTGATCCAGGTTGCCTCCTCGGTCAGACGTGCCTGCATGTCCTCCGGTGTGAGCTCAATCTCTTTGAAGGGCTTTCGGGCTAATTGCAGGCGCTCAGGAATATCGGTTTCGCGGATGATGTTGTCTTCATCCGTCAACATACGCTCCTGCAGTTGTGATGGTTCGAAGACGTCCTTGAGTTGCAGTTCGCGGCCATCGCCGGCTTGCTCGTCCTCTTCGGCCTCTTGCATTTCCAACGCCCAGTCGTAATCTGTGCCATCACCAAATGCAGCTCTGTAGTCTTCCTCGGCACCCTCATCGAGTCCAGCAGCTTGCAGCCCCTTGGTGATTAGATTTATGCCTGGTTGTGTGACGTCGCGGTCATCTTCGATTTCGTCTTCAAACTTGTCGTCCTCAATGAAGTCGTCAAACTCGTCGCCCAACCGGGCCCGCGGCTCATCGTAGTCTTCGTTGACTTCGTCGTCGGAAAAGATGTCGTCGACACCCCGGGACTTGACGCGCTCCTTGTGACCACGCTTGAGGCGCTTGAATCTCGACTTCGCCAATGTCAGTCATGTCCAGGCTCTAGCAGAGTATGTCTTACCTGTTCTTCGGCCGGGCGTTCTACCTCGACGCCGATCAGGTCAAGATCTTCGTCGTCGAGAGCCTCTTCGGCCTCGCGGTTCTTTCTCTTCTTCTTGCGCCGGCGCCGGCGCTCTGCCACTTCCTCCTCCTCTTCGTCGTCGTCATCGGCGATGAAGCCTTCGCCTTCCTGTCCATCTGTCAGCATTCCTGGAGACACAGCTTGCCATGGCGGAGCTTGCCTGTCGCAGTCGGTCCTCATCATCGTCGTCTTCCTCCTCGCTGGAGTCGTCGATGCCGGCTGTGCCATTTGTCTTGCTGGGCCTGGGTTCGCCACCCTCACCAGTCTCGCCATCAAAGTCCTCATCCTCCTCCTCGTCGCTGCCGACGTCGGCGATTGTGTCAAAGAATTCAGACATGGCTAACTAAACAAAAGGAACGCGTGAGTTGTGAGATTGGCTTCGACGGCGCTCTTTTTGGGGGTTCGACGAGCGCTTGGCGGTAATGAGATTAGGCGACTATGGCGATCAGGCGGAAGGGAAAGTCGGGCGCAATCGAGGTAAAGGAGAGAGGAAAGGCAGATGTAGGCTCTCAGAGGCTCGCGACCCATCGGCCGCGTTAACTTTCAGCCGCACTGACGCTGTGCACGTGATTTCCGCGCTAGGAGGCGGAAAGGCTACCAAACCAGATGCGCCATCCTTGGCTGTGCATGCCGCAGCCACACGTGTATTCGAAAGCCACCATCCCATCATGCACTCTTCATAGTGCTTTGAATGTATGCTTCCTCATCATGCAGTGCCAGCATGATCTATACACGCACAGCAACTTGATCTGGGTAAAGCATTGCTGGCATCTGATAAATCGCCGCGTCGAAGCTATATTCAGATACACTTGTATGCTACTGGCCGCATAGCTGGAGACATGGCCGATTGCAAGCACACTTTTGGTGCGTTTCCTCGTCCGTAGCAGTCATGACTACTCTATGCTACGTTCCGATACAACACTCGTGTTCATGAGGCGTGTTTGAAAGAAGATGTGCACTAGCAGCAGGTGAAGCATCGCGACGAGCAACCATGCGACTCTGAAACCTCCTGAGCGATGCATCGTGTATGTCTTGTCAGCCTCTATATATCAGAGACGTAGCCCTGGCATCGCCAAAAGTGTCGCCCGCTTCTTGCCCCCCAGCACCAGCTCTCTCCAAGTCTCCAAGTTGCCTGACTATCGCATCGCACCAGCTGCAGCCTTGCAGAACCAGTTTGGAACGCCGCTCCATCTGCCCCCACCTGCGCGCGCCCCGCTAGCTCGAACACTGACACGACCACAACCCTCTCTCCTGACTTCCCCAGCTGCCAACCTTCCTCCGAGACATCGTGCTTTGCATAAAACACCAACCTCCCAATCAATCCCTGCACAGCCTTGCCCGTGCAAACTGTCGCTCACCCGTATCCGAAGGGGTAATCCAATAGACGCTGTCCTCCTTTCAGCCATAGCCGTGATTGGCGTACCACTGTCGACACAGCTTTGGGCGGCAAACCCGAAACAAAAGCCAACACTTGGGCTCTTGTCCTGCGAGATACATCCTTTCTAACCATATATCCCGAGCCTTGCAATCGCTGCATTCTTTCTACCCGCCTTCGCATCATACCGGCGCCCGGCGCAAACCTACAACATGGCAGAACCAAATTTCAAAGGGAAGACGATGAAGAGGAAGAATGTCAAGGGTCTCGCTCTCAGCGCTCCACCACCCAAGCCAGCACCTTCGGCTGGTGATGCCCAAATACCCGGTGCCCGCGCCAACGACGAGAAGCAGGACACGCTGGAAATCGGTGTTGAATTCCAGCTAGACCTCAAGGCAGAGGATTTGATAGTGCTGCGGGAACTGGGCTCAGGAAACGGAGGAACAGTCAGCAAGGTGCAGCACGCTGCCACCAAGGTCATAATGGCGAGAAAGGTGAGTCGGACGAGCAGGCGGGGTACATTAGAACAAAGAACAAAACAAGCTGACAAGGGCAGGTCATACATGTCGAGGCAAAGAACGAGGTCCGGAAACGAATCGTACGAGAACTCCGTATCATGCATGACTGCAATTCGGATTACATTGTCGACTTTTACGGCGCTTTCCAAAACTCGTCGGGCGATGTCATAATGTGCATGGAATACATGGACGTGGGGTAGGCAAATTTCCATCCACGGAATAAACTTAGCAGGTGCTGACTAGCAATCACAGCTCGCTCGATTGGGTCTCCCGAACATTTGGACCGGTTCGAGTCGACGTACTCGGAAAAATCTCAGAAGCCGTGCTCGGCGGTCTCGCATACCTATACAGCGCCCATCGCATCATGCACCGCGATCTTAAGCCGTCAAACATTCTCGTAAACTCAAAGGGCAACATCAAGCTATGTGATTTCGGTGTATCGAGTGAGCTGGAGGGATCCATTGCCGAGACGTTCGTAGGAACTGGCACATACATGGCACCAGAGCGGATACAGGGATCGCCCTACACTGTCAAGTCAGATGTGTGGAGTGTTGGCCTCACGCTCATGGAGTTGGCCATTGGCAAGTTTCCATTTGCTGGAAGCGGCGACGACGACGAGGCTGGGGGTCCCCAGGGTATTCTTGACCTTTTGCAACAGATTGTCTTGGAGCCTTCGCCCAAGCTTCCGAAGAGCGACGCCTTCCCTTCAATTTTGGAAGACATGATTGCCAAGTGTCTGATGAAGGATCCAGCGGAGCGACCCACGCCCAAGGAATTATACGTAAGTCCACCGTCTACCGCATACAACAGTAAATACTAACAACACCAGGATCACGACGCCTTCCTCCAAGCCGCCAAACGCACACCCGTCGACCTAGAAGCCTGGGCCATTTCCATGATCGAACACAACAAGCGCAAATCCCACCTCGCTCCCGCCGCCCCCGCCGCAACCATCAAAGAGAAGCTGCGCGAGCGCTCACCCCCTCACAAGCGCGAACCCAGCGATCCAAGGCAAAGAGTTGCTAACGGAGACGCCGAAGCAGCACCCCGCCGCCCCTCATATCCCAGCCGATCCTCCAGCAGCAACAATGTCATGAACTTACCCATGCGCCCGGCCCCCTCTGTAGACGGCTCCAACAGCAGGCCCGGAAGCAGGGGTCCCTCTGCAAATGGTCTCCCAGCCCAACCTCGGCGGTGGAATAACGAAGTTCAATAAATTTGACTCTCTTTCTTGAATCGAACAGTAGTATATATATGTATACTCAGCACATTCGTTGTTCAGGGGCGGAATTTTCTTTCCTTTGAAGAAAAAGAAAATGCACATTTTTTGGTTACCCCGTTGCCCATTGATACTGCTGTTCGGTCCGGTTTCTTTTGGAGGGAAGGGGAGGGCCAGAATGGGGAGTGTGTACAGGGAGACTTTATATGTATGAAAGATGGGGTTTGGAGAGGGGTGTGTATGTGGGTTGGCTTGTTGGGGTGGTGTGATGGTTGGTGTATATTTTCAAATATCAGATGTTCAATTCAAGATCTTTTTTTTTCTCTTCTCCTTCTTCATTTCGTTGTATTTGGGTTTTTGTGGTGGTGTGAATGATGTGTGGGATGGGAAAGAGTGGGGAGATGATTATGCTGAGATTACATTTGGGTTGAAACTTTTTTTTCTTTAAGATATTGGAAGTATGCAGATCTGATCTCTTTGATTTGGCGATATGAAAGATGTCACGAAGGGGAAAATTGACGACAGAGTATGGATATTAGCCAAAAGTTTTATAAAAGAATCCTCATTTCTAATTCCATGTTTCGCCATAGTATTCCCACCTGTTTCGCAGCCCCCACTGTTTAATCCACCAGATGGTGCTGACCCAGTATCCAAAACCATCTTTGCTCGCCTAAAGTAAGTCTAGAAAACAGCATTTGAGAATGTAGGTATTCCAAGAGCACCAGATCGCACTGTTCACTGGCGATTTCTCAACTCCTCGACGTCCCTCTTCTTTGTTGTTATTGTTATCATATTCGCTCTTCCTGATATGTGGATACCCAATCACTGCTGCGCGTTGCCGTAGTCGCTGTTGCCATCATGCTCCGAGCTCAACCTTCCATGGACGATAACCTTCACATGATGTTGTGCTTTCGTTTGTATTCTCTCAGTATCTTCCAGTTCCGGTTCCACCTGTTCAGTCGGACCATTCTGCTTACTTCGACGCTTATGAGATGCTTCATTCCTCTTGGACAGGACATACCGGGATACATGAACAGTTCCTTAAATAGTGCATCCGTGTTTTTTGGAACCGGGATGTTTGGATCCGGGCGACGGGTGAGAAAACGCCTCAATTTTCTGAACCATGCCTCTATAGTCTTGTTTAGTTTCATGATCGTTATTCGTACAGGATAAGACAAAAACATAATCTTTACTAGGCCCTCTGGATATGTGTGGCGCACACGATCAACATATGCTTCATAGAAATATTGGTTTTCCTCTTCCCCATAATCCAATGGCCAATCGTCCAGCATCTTCCTTTCGAACTCTGGATTGGCAGCGATTCTCTCGAAAAGTTGGTCAAGAGACTCTTCTGCAAGACAACCAATAGGTGTTGTGATCTGGGTGCGCTTTTGAATATACGAGATGTTCTTGAAAAAGTCGTTCATAAAAGGCTTCCATCGGAAAGCTAACGTAAGGTTGTCAAAGTCCAGGCTAGTGTACTTGAGGGGCGTGTCATTGAAATAATATCCAAGCTCTACTCTATGAATATGACGCTTGAATTGTGGCATGATATCATGAGGAAACCGATATGCCAGTAGACCGGTAACTGTCTCCCTTAAGCTACTGTGGTTCCCTGAATAGTTTCCAGCTATCGATCTGCCGTTGTTATCTATATCGCAGAGACAGGAGTCAATCTTGATCTTGTATATGACTTCTTGGCCATCTTGAAGAAAGCACTGGAGACTTTCCGTAAAGATTTCGCAGCGGTAGCAATGTGTATGTTCCGTAATCGAATAATTGCAACTAGCCGACGAAGAGAAGCTTAGTTTTGGGAGCCGTGTGAAAGCAAACTCGCATTCTGCCTCTGTTCGGAAGACGCGTGACACCTGGCGACAGGTGACCCAGAGTGTGAACTCATCGTCGACAAAACTAAGTATAAGTCCCCAAATTTCCTGAGGTATATTGCCGGGCGTTGCCTGATATACTGGTGCCGACGCTCTGTCTCTCATCAGTGTTGGTCATTACACTAACAAACATTTCACTTACACCGTGTCGTTGATTCCAGAATCTTTTGCTAGCTTTGCCATCTTCATATACTGGTGTCGTTACTTGATTGAATATAAGGGCTATCCTCAACTCGCAAGCTCCTGAAGTAAGGTTGATGAGAAGCAATGCGGTGGGAGAAGCAGTATAAATACAAGTCTCTGAATGATGGTGTTTGTGGGCATGGTCAGTGCTCCCAGTCACCAGGAAGGAAAGAGTGATGGAAAGTACGTCACCTGATGGAGACAAACCAAGCATAAATCACGTAGAAGGAGGAAGATTCACAAGGGAAGGACATTGGAATACAGCGAGGGAGCTGCTTTTAGCACCTGGGTCACCAAACGCAGCTCAGTCAAAGAAGAAGGCTCGTAGTAGTAGGGGTACTAAGAGGGCTCAACTAAGTTTACGGCGCTGTGGGAACTGTGGAGAGCCTGGACACTACGCTACAGTATGTGTAAAGGATACGAAAGACTTTTCTGAATCCAAGCTGAGCGAGCCTGTGAGTAATCATTAAGGGATGATAGTAAGGATTAAGGGCCTGTTCGGTTCAGCGTTTTGCGGTTGCATTCTTAATACCTGTTAGGGTATAGAGCTTTGAAAAGGGGATAGCCTGGCTAGCGATTAGATTGGGCCTATCTGGATGTGGATAGCGAGTGAATAAGCTACTCACGTGATTTAGATGCACTACCAGAACCCAAAATCGCCATCGATCTAACCCGTTCACGCCTCAAGACATTCTGAGCCCAACTACTGGCGAAATTCTTGGTCATATCTCAATGCCACCGTTGTTTAAGGTCGATCAGGTTCTAAGAGGACACAAATTAATATACACTGTTGTGAAGGAGATTCATAGAGCATTTGACGAAGCTGCTGTATATCTGGCCAGGTGAGAGATCAATACAGTCAACGCGCTTTTTCGGCATGGCCGCGAACCCCTCTTAATCTTTTTGTGGACTGCAGGGATCAGAATAAAAACAACTGTATTGTCAAGAGCGTTCGCGGCCACTGGCGCCTACAGAACGAAGCCGATATCCTAAGACGTTACCAGTCAAAGATGCCGTTCCTTCGACCTATCATCGATGAGGTTATAAGCCCAGCCGATCCACCCTCTATTGTTTTGAGGCACCTGGACAGTGAACTTCTCGCGGAATCGAGGAAGAAACGGCTTACGCGCCCCGAGATTAAGCAAGTAGCTAGGTGTATTCTTGAAGCCCTACTCGTCCTTCATAAGGATGGAATGGTCCATACAGGTATTCAACGTCATTCTTATCGTATTTAGAGTCTCCTCATTCTCACTTATCTTGTAGACGTCAAATTGGATAATGTCTTTGTTAACTATGGCCAAAACGAGCAGCGGTTCTCGTAAATTCGACTTGGGGACTGTGGAGGTGCGGTTTATAAAGACTCAAAGTTCGCTAAGGAGTGCAATGTTATCAGAGGTGCCTTCACACGTAGCCCAGAAGTTATGTTAGCGCTTTCTTGGGGCCCACCAACAGACGTCTAGTCATTCGGAAATGCAGTACGTATGAGAACAGTTAGTTGCCCGTTGTTTCGCTTAACTTACTTATTTTCCGATTCTTAGCCTTGTACATGGAGGTGACTTTCACCGCTTCGATCCTGGCTGGCAGAGAGTCAAAACAGAAGACCAAGATTACGAGTTGACAGTTATGCAGCGAATGTATCACTCGTTCGGCCCATTCCAAAGATCAATGGCCGACATCCTCAACCCGGTTGCTCTTGATGTCGTCTTCTTCTTGAATTGGCAAGGGAACCCACGGAAGCCGCTTCAACGGTGGTCGATGAAGGAAATTCCTTCTGCTGATAACGAGTTTATAAGGCAGATCTTACAACTAGACCCTCGGGAGAGACCAATATGGAGGAGATTCTCGAGGACGGATGGTTCATAGAAGAATCAGATGATACCCGGACACCCATACCAAAGGGGACAAGCAGGTCAGAGGATGAAGCTGCTAACTAGTGCTAGGCTTATGTCACAGCTTGTCAGTATGAATGTATGTGAATGGAGACGGGTGGGCGGGCGAGACATAGTCTAAAAACTACTAAACAAGATATGGTTACAGTTCGACTACTCTGAGGTGCATGACATGCTTCCTACCAGCACTGAACGAAGATGGTGTAGCGTTTCAACAAGGAGAAACCAAGGAAGCATCTTCAGCGCTTCGACTTGACATCTCCTTCCTGCAGATCGGAATATCGAAAGAAATTTGGTTTGAAAACAAAAACGGTCTTCAAATTAACCCAGTATATTCAGTGATTATGATGAAAGTGAGGAGAAATCTGCGACAAATCACAATTCAGCTTAGAAACATTCCATACACAAACGACAAAAATTCATTACAGGATATTATCGTAGAGGCATCACACTAATTCACGGTAAAATCTTCCTTCCCCACACTTTCTACTAAATCCCTGGCGAAATCACCTCCCATAGATACCCCGTTTCTAAACAGCATGAGGTACCGCTTGTATCCTCATACTATCCTGCCTTAGAATCTGTCGCTGTTGATCCCTGACCAGTCTCATGGGTCCGCGGTAGAACGCTGAAAGCAAATCAGTGATGTTGATCGCATCGACGATTGCATTCAAGGGCCCTGCTGCAGGTCCACCTTGGGCCTTGTATGGGCGCGGGGAGAAGGCGAAGACGAGGAGGATAGCGAAGAGGGGCATTTCGCAGGCGAGGATGAGTGAAGCGAGTCCGGTGTTGACATCATGGAAGGTCATGTACTCGGTGGGTTTGAGTACGCCGTGACCAGCGAGAATGGAGATGATAAACTGAAGGCTATATTAGCATGCTTACACTGGATGCGTATAAAGAATAGTGAGTCCGTACCGACTGGAGAAAGTTGAGACCAAGAACTCCCTTGAACGTCATAAGCTTGAGGAGGATACTGTGCTTCTGCAACAACGTCTTGTTCTTCTTATAGAACCGAAGCGAGCAGATTATAGCGACCACAGTAGTGTACGCGTTCAAGATCGTGATCCAGATATGGGCAAAGTGCACACTGTTGGACTGCTTGCAGTATGTGCCAGCAGCCAAAGAGATGGCAGTTGCAACCCAGAGGATAATACTAGTAGGAATGAACTGGAGCACACCGTACCATGTTTTCTGTTGATTGTCAGATAGTGTCCAATAAACCATAAGCAACGAGACAAGATCTTACCCTCAACCACGCTGGACTCTGAGCTTTAAGCTCCCCTTTAGCCCTCGCATCCTCCCCAAACAACGACTCGTACCCCCCTGGATGTGCAAGCACGAGATCGCACATGAAGAGCAAAAAAGACGACAACGCCATCGCACACCCGAAATCAAGCGAGTGAGCCAGATACTCTCCTATCCCATCCTGCCACACGATGAGGAAAGAGAATATAGCAACCCAAGGAATAAGCGAAACGATTCGAATGACCTGACGTTGCTGCACCGGATTCGAGTAGTTGAAAGCGTGGAATCCAATCAATACAGCAACAATAACAGTACTGAGGATAGCGCAGCCACCAGCAAGCATAGTCGCAAATCGATGAAATGTAAGTTCGCCAACGAAATACCGAATCTCAGGACCTTCAGTGTTTTCCTCTGGGCAGACGTGCTCCTTGCCTCGCCGCTCTAAGTGGCTCCTAGCCGCGAGTACGAGAATATGCATAGGATTGCTTGACTCCATGATATCGAAGAGAGAAAAAGAAAAAAACGGGAGAAAGCGATGATAAACAAACTAAAAGACGAAAAGATATTTGGAAACCTTGAATATTGTGATGTCAAAGCAAAAGATGAAACTAACTTCACCACTCGCACCCCCAAAGGCTATATACTCCTCCGCCATCGTCTCCCCAATTCAACAAAAAGGTAGATCACCAACTCGGTTCTGCCAGTTTTAGCCACCACAAGGCATACCCATCGAGGCCTCCAACCCCGCCGAATGGGTTTCGCGTAGAATACTGCGTTAGGCAATGAGCAGCAATTTAGGCAGCTCGCCTTAGCAAAGTCGCAGCTCGCCTTAGCACTGGAAATAACCACCCCCGCGTGCTTTCGAACGTGGCTTGTTCCCATCCGTGCAGAGGCTTAGCAAAGAAAATGTAGGTAGCGGTATGCAAAAAAGCCACGTTGATACGGCCGTGTCGGGATGATAAGGTGCTGTGGTTTGAGCGGACCCGCCGATACGAGCGTCGTCTGCGTGAGTGAGACAATCTGGGGTGCCTAACGTTTGATTGGAGTGGGCGTGTACGGTGTAGGGAGAGGGGCCACGCTAAGCATTCGGAGATGCGATTGGACAACGACATGAAGATGGCTGTGCTGCTTTGGGAACAGGGTCCTCCCCAGCTCCACGTCTGCAACGTCTGCCAACTGCACTGCAGCGATTGATGTATCTTTCATTAGTTCATTCCTCGAGGCACGAATTAAAATCCATCATATCCACTACAAAACTAGGCATGGAGGGAGTTGACTTTGGCGGCGTCATTGTCATTTGATTCATTTTTGTATCAGTGCTCCTGAATTGAATGTCGTCGAGTCTTGCGAAGCCAGTATACATCTAGTCGTCTCCGCCGCCTATTGGGCCACTGACTTGCTTCGCGGACTTCGCAGCTACAATGTCGTCTACCCTCAACAGCAGGCAAGCGCTCTCGACAGCTGTCTTGATGCTCTGTTCCTTGACGGCTAGAGGTTCCCACACGTTGTATGTGTGCATGTCGACAACCTTGCCAGCATCGCCGTCAATACCCCAAGAGCTTCCACCGTGTCTGCCGTCTTCATAACCCTCTGCATGCTTTGCGCGCAGTTGTGTGAGTACCTTGATTGGGCTGTTTCCGGAGTTCTGGATCAGTGTGCGGGGAATGACCTCCATGGCTTCAGCAACCGCCTTGTACGGCCACTGCGCAACACCCTCGACAAGCTTTGCTCTCCTGTCCAGACCGACGGCAATAGCCATCTCAGTCGCACCACCACCTGGACAGAGCTTGGGGTTCCATATCACGTTCCTGGTGACCCCCATAGCATCGTGTAGATTCCGTTCAATCTCATTGAGAATGTCTTTCGAAGGACCCCTGAGCATGATGGTGCAAGCCTTGGGGTTCTGGCACTTTGTGAGGAACGTGAAGTACTCGTCACCAATCTTGGAAATTTCGAACAGACCGCACTCAGTACCGATGTCTGAGGCAGTAGCAGAAAAGACAGAGTTGACAATTGTCGCACCTGTTGCACGAGCAATACGGTTGTTGTCTGTCTTGCGGACGCGGCGGATAGCGGTGATGTTGGCCTTGACGAGGTAGTGCTGTGCAAGGTCTAGTCCAAGTTAGTAAGCATTAAATGGGAAGGTGCGTGCAAGACAACATACCACTGACGCCCTTCTCAGTGATGACGAGATCGGGCTTGAGAGCAATGATGGCATCGCACATGGCCTTGACCTGCTCCTCCTCGATTTGCAGTATCCTGTTCCAGTCCTCCTCTTTGCTGACCTCAATGTTGGTCTGACTCTCACCCTTCTTGTACTCCAGTGTGCAGTCCAACAGCAGGACGCGAGGGTTTTCGATTCTCCTCCTCATCTTTGGGTGTGTGATGTCCTTGTTTACCATGACTCCGTCCAATACCACGCTGTCTTCAATCTCGCCGCCGGGAATCTTCTCGATACGAGCATAACGCTTGATGTCGACCTCCTTCTTGCCAGCACCGATATCAAGGGAGACGGTGCGGACGGCCTTGAGGGCGAGACTGCACATCAACTTAGACCACCGCGAGACAAACTTTGTGCCGATTGACGAGTTGATGATCTTGAACATTTGCTCATCGTCGTCGGTGTCGACTTCGACGGCAATTTCGTTGATGATTTCGAGGGCATCGGCGAGGGCCTTTTTGAATGCTTGGATAATCACGACGGGATGGATGTTGCGCTCGAGCTGTGGCAGAGCTTGTGCAAGGATCTCTCCGGCTGTTTGCTATCAGCTTTCTGCATTGACATGGCCGCAATTCCTACGCACCCAATATGATGACAGTGGTTGTGCCGTCTCCGACCTCCTCATCTTGTGTCCTGCTGAGCTCGATCATGCTCTTGGCTGCGGGGTGTGCGACTTCGATCTCTCGGAGGATGGCATGGCCGTCGTTGGTCAGGACAATGCCACCCATGGGGTCGAGCAGCATTTTCAGCATGGCCTTGGGTCCAAGACATGACCGGATAATGTCTGCGACCGTCTTGGCTGCTGTGATGTTGGAAAGCTGTGCTTTGCGGCCGAACTGCCGCTCCCCACCTGGGGTCTGCGTGTCTGGTGTTGTGTTAGTGGGCTGTCAGGACTTCCAATGTTTTGGTAACCTACTCATAACCACCACTGGCGCCTGCATTTTGAAGGAATAGACTGGGAAGCAGTACAGAGAAGAAGGAGGGGCTCGTGACGAGAGTTGCGTGGGGTATCTTGTGTCTGGTGCCTTGCAGCTCCTCCGCTAACTTTTGCTACCAAAAACCGCGTCGCAACCGCCACTATGCCGGCGCGGATTATCTGAGGCCGACGTCAAGCCACAGGGCCGTGGCGCCACAGATGGCTGAGTCAGCGAGCCTGACTTCAGCTGAGCGCTGAGCCAGGAAGACCCGGCAAGTTCCACCGGCAGCGAGTCGGGCCGGCCTTACACACAGCTCTTGGCGCCTGTCGGGGTCGCCAAACCTCGTCAGCCGGCCAATGCACGCCTGACCTGCCCTGGACGCTGCTAGCCGGACCACTTTACGCTACATTCTGCCGCTCCTCACCGCATCGCCGCCAGCCTCTCACGGGACTTGCGCGCAGCTTACAAGACCGCTCTGGCGCCCTCCAGACCGTCCCTCCTCCATCTCACTTTCTCGCGCCAGCCCTTCCCACGCACCCTCACACTGCTCCCTCGCCTCGACTCCTTCATACTTGAACCCCTTCCTCCCTCCTCTTTTCTTCCTTCCATTCGCACCCATCCTTCATCCTTCATCTACCATTGCGCCTCTCACTCTACCTCTCATCATCTACTCTATCATCGCCGTCGCTACCAGTGACACCAAGGAACATCTCGTCGCGTGCTTATTTCCTGTCTAGTAGTTGCTTTGCACATCTTTGTATCCTTACATCTCTGTCGTTCTAATCTACTAAACATACAGCATGGGTCTCAACTACTACGCCTCGTCGCCAACCGTGGTCCTGCCGCCCCAGCAACCGCAGGGCTACTTCTCCCACCACCAGAACACCGCCGCATCACCAATGGGTAATTTCCGCCCCAAATACCCTACTCCACCCTCGCTCAACTATCTAGCCGCCGTCTCCAATGCCACCGCTGGGCGCAAACGATCCATCGCCGACGTTGACGAGCCCGAGGAGAACCTACCCGTCGGATCCATCGTCACTCAAGCACCTGCGAAACCGAAGCCCGAGCCTGTGTATGGCCCAGGTATGACGCTCATCTACCCTGGCGAACCTGGCTATGCATTGGCTGCCGAGTCGCAATCGGGCACCTGGTACGAAGAGAAGATCGAAAAGGAAGAGAAGGCTGAAGCTGCTGCTCGCCCCATTGCTATATCGCGCAAGTCGGTACGGATGAGCCCGTCCGCCAATGTCGAAGTTCCCTCCCTCAACGACATGGATGCTCAGAAGACCGAAGAGCTTATTGACGACAATGGCACCACCATCAACAAGCTCATCTCGTCGCTTGGAGTGGGCTGGAAGAACGTCATGTCCAACCCAAACCTCCGCGACGCTGCGCGCGCATACTCGCGTGTCATTGAACGTCATTTCGACTTTACTGATGTCCTCGTCATGCTCGAGAAGGAATCACTCAACGCGTACCTTGTTCGCGCAAAGCAACACGGCGTCCAAGGCTACTGGCTGTTCTCGGACAGCCTGCAATGGTGCCAGCTTGTCGGCTGGTCACTAGAGCGCACCGTCAGCAACCTCATGTTCGGTGCCACCCCTCGCGTCGAGGGCGAACGCATCAATGCTCGTCAGCTCACTCCTTCTTCACCTGCATCAACACCTGCTGTACAGTCTGCTGTTGAGATTCCCTCAACTAACGCAGACGTCGATGCAATGGAGATGTAACCCACTCATCTTCTCCTCCCTCTCCCTTTCCTTTCCCATCTCATACTCGGCAACAAAAATTTCTTCGGTTTTCATCGTCGGTTGCATTGATCGACGATTGTTTCTGTATCGGGTTCTTTCTTCTACGGCAAATCGGCGTCTGGCGGTGGATACGAATGGCTCACCGGAAGTGACTCCATTTGACATGTATGATATTATTATGCTCACATACGACTGCTTGATCGAATATTGCGATCGCGTCTCTTAGCACCGTGCCACTAAACTCCTCAGGCAAAAACACACCAATGAATCTATGATTGTTATTACAACTGTGTTCTTTTTTGAGATGACTGCGCCATGACTTGTGGTACAAATGATGCCACCCACACTTCTCAACAAGAACAACATGACTTGCGTTGAAACGGCAACACCGACCTGAAGACGGAACGGACGGACACACATCTGCACCTCCCTGCATGCACTCTGTAATCCCCTCCTCTCCCCAGCAACCAACCAACCAAACAATAATTCCCTCTCATCACCCACGCAACCAATTCAAACACCCAGCACAGCACAGAATCCCTCCCGCCCCGTGCCCACCCTTCCTTCCTTACACCGGAGTTGCCGCCAAACTCCGGGTCCCGCATCCTCCACAACGCGAACACAACACGCCTCACGTCTTCTCGCACGCGCCGCGGTCTCTCTCTCTCACTCTCCCTCGGAACCTCATACCCGACCCTTTTTTTACCTTTCTGGACGATTAGATAATCCCCCCGCCAACTAAACTCCCCTTCTTCTCAGCAACACCCGCATTTCCAATAAATCAAAAGCACAGACAACCTGTGTTTCATATCCCTGCCTCCCTCCTCTCACGGCTCCCCCCACCCCCCTCAAGGTTCACACAGCAAGAAGAGCGCTTATCTACAAGCGCAAGGGGCGGGGGAGGCGCCGCTCGCAACAGAATTGAGCGGGGGGGCGAAGATGCGTAAGGGCTAATTTTGGGTTGCTAGTGTGTTTCGTGGGTGAAGGATTAGAGTTTGTGGGATCTTCTCTTCTTCTCTGACTGGACTGGTGGGATTTTTTGGATTCGGATTGGATGGGAGGGAGAAGGGGGGGGTCCGTGATAGATCCGGATTAGTGTCAGCGTGGGTCATGTGATTTGCCGGGTCCTGAAGAAGGTTGGGTTTATGGGTGGGCGTTGGGACTGAGTAACGTAGTGTACACTTACTTGATGGCATGGCTTTCGGTGAGCGAATATGAAGAAAAGGGAGGTGCAGGTGAGATGGGCTGTATGTGTATGCAATGCAGCTGCGTAGCTGTTAGATGCAGGCTCTCTCTCTCAACGAACGGTACGCGTGGCCACACACATTCTCGGCATCATGGTTGCGAAGGGTGCAAAAAAGCAAGTTCAGCGATGATGATTTTTTACGAAGAAAGTAAGGATGTTCGAGCCGATCGTACTTTGTCTTCCCCCTGACCCGGATTCCTACCACCGCAAACAAAGGTTTGCTGACGCCTTTTTTTCATCGCCCATCTGAGCGTGGTCTTTTGATGCATACGTGTGATAAACTTCCCATATTTAGGCAGTAAAACTTTATTACAGCTGTCGTTGCATATTACAATTGGTCCTCTTAGCACGCGGGCAGTCTGCAGTAGCGTGTTTACACATTGCTATATGCTATCGTAAGGAATTTGATGCTGTTCATATCGTAGTCAGCTACTAAGAAAGGCTATGGCGCATGCCTGTAGCTTTCTAGTAGCCTCTACAGCCAGATGCTTCGCCTCGCTTTCACAACACGACCTTGACTACCGTCGTTTACGCCCTCCTAAAACGTTAATACTCTTGCTTTACTAAGAAGTAACACCTTAACACTATGCTCATATCGGCCGTCCTCCGGCTATTAATTATCTAGAGTTTTCTTTCTAGTTAGTGTTACTTCACCGCTACGGCAAAGGTTCAACGACTACGCGATAAGAGGTTAAATAGATACGTAGTAAGCAAGAATTCTGTCTCGTACGACGCTGTCTACTTCTGTTTAAGCCAAGAGCGTAATGTTGCTCTTATTTTAGCTAGCGCTGTAGTCTAAGTACCTTTTCTTTCTCTTTTCTCTTCTTGCTCTTTCTTACTTACTACGTGTCTATCTACCCTCTTATCGCGTGATCATTTGTACCTTTGTCCACCGCATTTATCCCTTCATAACCAAAATGAGTCCCGTCAGCACTAAAAGTACGGTGATTGTTGTATATTCTGGTAACAAGATATAATTACTGTTTATCACCTTTCTAAAAAAAAAAAGAAGACTTGCTTGTGCCCGAATCTTGATCTATACCTCGCTCACTGAAAGATAACACACACACACACACATTCTCTCTTAATAGAAGACGACTTTGCTAGTTACATACTACCTTTACTTCTTTAACACCGCCACCAATACCAACAATGATACTTTCCTTATTTTTCACTTTACTTACTACGGCTGCTACGATTCCCTTTGCTTCCGCCGCGTGTTGCCATTACATTGGAAAGGGACATTGGCTGTCGCCAATTCTCCGTCGTCACTACAGCTCTCTGTGTACGTAAATCATCTCACCTTCTATTTCTCTAATCATACCATTTTGCTACTAGTAAAAATCCAATAACAATAGTGCATGAATAAAGCTGGGGCCGAGACTCCAATGGATTGCGCAAGGCAGAACTGCTTCTCGGACTACTATCCTTCTGATGTGAATTTTATTGCTCCTAGTAATGCTGCAGCATGTGGGCCCCGCGGTGCTGAATTTCCTGCTTGTGCAAAGTAAGTATAATAGTAGCTACGTTTTACGCTAATTATGACTATTCTATTTTTTATACAATTGCCTGCTTAGCGTTAAGACTGGTTGTAAAGAGGTGAACGTGATCTAAATAGCTTCTTGGCATAATCTTGTTCTTGTTCGGAAACGACGAGAATAAATGACGCCGAAACCGGTTTTGCGAAAGTTTAAAAGTGAGGCGGAACAATGGAGGAAAAAAAACGGAGAATCACGTGAACATGTGTAGTTACGTCAGTACTTTGATCTGACTTGCAGGACAAGTTCACATGAAAGTACGGTGAGACCTAGTAGCTCCCTGCAGCTTCATTCGATTTTTTTTTCTCTTCTAAAATCGCGCACTCTTATCTTACTAGGCTGGGAGTCAAAGATGCAAGTATATCTCGCTGTGGCTATCTTATTAGATTGATGAGTATATGTGCCGAAAAAAACAATCTGGACTCTTAAAAGGAAAATAGTTGCGCAAGTGAACGTATCCGATAAAGACAAGTAGACGCAGGAACCAATTGAAAAGAAAAGAGATGCATGTGTCTAGGATTAACGAAGGAGCAGGAAAATGAGATATTTTTTGTGAAGGAACAGCAAGGAAAAAGGATTTAAAATTTATAAGTTAGTGGGATGAACGATACAAGGTAAAACGCCTGGAAAATGCATGTAGACAAAAGTTTTGACTCCAGGCTATAGCCAATTGAAGCAATGCAAAAAATAGCGAGAAAACAAGAAAACGATTCAAGCGATAGACAAGGAGCCAAGCCACGAAAAAAAAGAACTGTCCAATTAGCCAAATCCCCTCTATTGCCAAGTGGGCCACGGTCTTCCAAGTTTTTGTTTTAATTACTGCAAAAGATTGTTAGTTATCCATCTTCAAACACGAATCGAGGATAGGGAATGAAACTTACTAAATCTCCAACGGCGCAATCTGGTCGACATTATACAACCAACCTCCACCCTTCTCCTCGCTCTCCAACCAATCATACGGCCAGAGCACAATATGGCCCTGCACCAATTCAAGTACCCTCTTTGCGTCCTCCTTATCCAACATCATATCCGCGTCACCAGCGTGGAATGTCTTGTTGGAGCTCCTAGTCGTAGCACGGCGGCGCGAACGCTTGGTGTTGGAGCGATTGGGAAGATTGGAGTTTTGAGAGGGGTGGAAGGGAGGCTCATTGATGGTGACTTGGCGACCCCGCTCGCGCATCGAGTGCGATGTCTGAGGTGGGTTGTGTGTAGCAAAGTCATACGAGCTATCGGGAATGGGCGGTGGAGCAGGGAAGGTGAACGTCTTTTCTGGTGGCGCAGGGTTCATTGGAGACACAATAGCGTCGTCAGCCGGCTCTGGTGCCAGCTTCTCATTCAGTGTAGATCCAGAAGCCGTGTCGATATGGATTCCGCGGTTAGTCTGGGCTGACAGGTTTTGGGCCTGAGCTCCTTTCTCGTGGCCAGCAGCCCATTGCTCTACGCTGTGCTCAGTAGTCGAAGTTCCGTTGTCTGTCATCTTTCCATCAGAGTTGTTGGTCATCTTCTCAGTGAGCTTCTCGCCCAACGCTCCGACCTTATTTCCAACCTTGCCAGTAATACCTGTGCCAGGCGGCCCTGTAGCGGTAGGGGCGTCCTGCTGCTTATGTACTTGGCCCTTATCACCACCTTGTGCCTTGGCGAAACGTTCACCGAAAGTAGTATATTCCTGGTACTCCTTCCATGTCCGAACTTCATTGTCGGGCATGCAGCGGAAGACCTGGCGGAACAGCTTGGTGTTGTTCTCGGCAATCTGATGCCAGGTGTCGAGGAAGAAGGAATCGCTGATAGGGTCCCGCATGCAGTCTTCAGTAACGATTGGGCGTCGCATCTCGGTGAGAATTGGGTTCAGAACTGAGGAAGATCCTTGACTCCAGGTGCGTTGCAGGGCAGGTGGGCCACCAATGTCCGTGTCATCCAAAATGGGCAATGCAGGCAGCTGGCTGAGTTGCGTAAGACCAAGCTTCTGCGTGTCCATACGTGGGATCTTGGGAGGCGGGAGACCAGCATATCCAGTTCCTTCAGTCAGTGCACTGATTGCGCTGTTCCTAGTACCCGTGGTACCGCTGCGCTTTCGGGTCCTGAGAGTAGCGCTCTTCTTTGGTGTAGCCGCCAGACCTTCAGCTGCGATGTCTGTCACAAGTTTTTCGTGACCATGCTCATCGATGTACGAATCCCGACCTTGTGCAATTGTGGGTCGTAGGTGTTCTACCTCGAGCATATGGTCAGCGCCCTCGCCCCGCACATCCTTTGCGTGCGCCGTGTTGTTCTGGACACGAACATCGGTTGATGGCTTCTTGGTACTCTGTAAGTGCGGGTTCTGGTCTTGCGCCCAGTCGAAGTCGTGATTGAAGCTGTGCAGCTTTTCGGCCTTTTCGATGAGCTCATCTTGCATTCTGTAGTTGTTCTCCTCCAGCTTTTGCTCAGTGGTGCGCTGGGCTGTAGGCGAACCGGGCCCGGATGACTCAGTATGAAAACCGACACTATCGGCATCAGACATTTGACTGGCCAATTCTTCCTCAGAAATGCAGTCCACGTCGATACCCAGATGCTCTCGCTGAAGACGCATGCGAAGTGTGTGGGGAAACTTGCCGACTTTGTATGGCTTGCCACCCATATAAGAATCCAGTACTTCAGTGTCGCGAACGATGGCTGCAATCTCAGAGTCTCGTGATCCCAACATGGAACGCTCATTGATATTTGCAGATCCAATAATGGCAACTCGGTCATCGACAATCATAATCTTGGCGTGGATGTAGAGCTGCTCTGTGACGAGCATCTTGTTCGGGCCGATCTCGCCCCACGATCGCAAGGCGTAAAACTGGATGTAGTCTTCGGGCTCAATGCCCGCAGCTCTCAGGCGACCGAAGATGGAGCCTTCTCCACGGCAGATGCTATGATACTGGCAGGTCATAATGAGACGGACACTGCTACCTTCCTGCTCGTCGACAGTGTTTTGGTATCCAGGCATGAGGGGAAGCATGATGCATGCTCTCCAGTCTTCGTCGTTTGCATGAGCGCGCTTGATACGGTCGACAATGGCATCATTGATCCTGTTTTCAATCTTTGTGCCCAACACCTCACTGCTACTGATGTAGAATTGGTTTTCAATGTAGACAAAATGCTCCGAGGTAGAAATCATCTGCACGTATGCGTTCATGATGCTGTGCTCGACTTTATTGGGCGTACCCAGTGACCAAGCACATGCAGAACGAAGGATCTGCACTTCGCAAGTTCCGTCGAGTCCAAGAGCCTCGATGTCAGCTGGATTGAAGTCGGGCGGTGGTAGCAGGAAGGGTGTTGGCCTCGAGGGCTTACGTTGTCGTAGCAGATAGTTCCATCGCTGGACAAAGTGACGGGTCAAGTCACGAGCTGGCTGACCGACAATCTGCATACCAACATCGTGCCATGGCATTCTAGGGACCTTTGAGCGATCGTACATTTCCTCATATGGTTTGTCGAGCGCGAAGAAGTCCTGAACTCGGGGGTTGGAATAGTCCTTGCCCGGCCATAGTTGACAGTGGTCGGCGTCCTTGGGCGTGTCGTCAAGCTCAAAACCTGTAGGCTTGTCATCTACGACAACGTGCTGGGGCGTATCCCAACGACCAAAACACAAATCAACTCCTCCGCAAAAGGCAACGGTGTGGTCGATGACGCAGATTTTCTCGTGGTGAGACCAGAAAAAGGTATTTTGGCGGATCTGATTTGGCGAACGCTGGACAAAGATGTTGGGGTGCAGGTCAAGTAGAGAGAACTTGGAATACTCGGAGTCGATGGGGATGGCGGCACCGATGTTGCGGTACATGATGACGAAAATCTTGACACCTTCCTGCGCTTTCCGCTGTAACAGTCTGTCGAGTCTCCACTTTTGACTGATAGCGGCTGGACGGCGTAGGTAGAGTTCAGGGCTCAGCCACCAATCGTGGATGTAGATGACATCCCGGGCCATGCTGATGGCACGTGAAACATTCCACATGTAGTCGCGACCATCGACCAGCCATTGTGCATAGATCTTCTTACGCACAGGGGCAAAGCTGTCGAATCGTTGGCGTTGTGACCACACAGTATTTTGTGCCATGAAGCTGATGGACTCTTCAAACTGCTGCAGCATCCTATCGTTTCTAGCCAGCAGTTTCATCTTGCGCTCAGCATTGATAAGCTTCAATTGATGATGACCTGTTGCGGATGCCTTTGCTTCGCTCGCAATATCCCTGGCCTTCTTGTCTCGTATCCTGCCACTCTTGGATTCCAGGTTGAAGTCCGCATCCACCAAAAACACATCGTAAACATTCATCTCTTCAGGAGAGTCTACGCAGACCACGTAGCTGTGTCTCACTAGAAACCATTTTGGCCAATGGCGGTTGATCATAGAGACCTTGGTCCAGCCTTTCCTATTGTCGACACCCTTTGAGGATTTGATCATTAGGAAGCCTTCTTTTCCGTGGTAGCCGCCTTCGGCAGCCAATCGGACACCAAGGGCAGAGAGTTCGAGGAACTTGCACAGCCGATTGCTGTCAGGGCGAAAGATGAGATAGGTCATCAGTCCACGCAAATATTGTTCGAGTTTCTTCCGCTGTCGCTCGTGGTGGTTCTGTTTCGCTTGTGCTGGTTGGCCGACAGCTCCTACAAAGCTACCTTGTCTGACTACCAGTGCGCCGATGGCGCCCTGGGCTTGACTGCCGCTGACGCTGGATTGCCTACGGCCCAAGAAAGACGACTTGCCTCGCTTCTTGGAAGGTCGCTCAGTAGCGCTGGCATCGCCGTCAGGCCCACTGGCGGCGCCTCCTATGGCATTGTCCTCCTCTTCCTCCTCGCCTTCATCGTCGAGAATACCGTAACCTCGGAGGCCTCGGAGATAAGGCAATACACTCCTGGGGAAACGAGGAAGCTTTGTTCTAGGATCCTCTTTCTCCTCCTCCTCTTCCTCGCCATCTTTGGTCGTCTTGTCCTTTATCTCACGGACGCGGTTTGCAGGCCGATTTCGGAAAGCATCCTGCTTCTCTTGCACCTTGAACTTGAGATGCAAGTTGGCAAAGTCGGCGACACTCCTGTAAACGACCCACTTCATACGGGTCAGACCACTGCCGTATTCGAGCTCTATGCGCAAAGCAGTGTGGCGGTCGCCCTCCTTCTTTCCAGGGCGGTCCGTGTCGGTAATGGTGACCTTGAGTTGTTCAAGGAGGACAGGGATACGCTTGTGACCATGCTCGTCACGCTGGAACATACTGGCCAGGAAAAGGGCGGCCGGGGCACCAGCAAGCAGCTCGGCCATGAGCTCGGCCGACTTTGCATGGTCAATCTGGCGCTCTACCTTTTGTCTGTTGCCCAACAGCTTCAGACTGTTCTTGATTGACTTCCATTTCTGAGCGCTCAGACTCGAGGTGCGCTCACTGCGCATCCTCCACGGCGAAGGCTGTGTGTCGCCATGAGCGCCGCGGAAGTTTGTCAGACTTCGCAGGTGTGTTGGTCGATTCTGGTGGCCTTCTTCCTCGTTGTTGGGGTCGTGTTTCCGCAGGCCGCCGTATGAAAGCCCTCTAGCACTGTGTAGCCCGCGCGACCAAGCACTCTCTTTTGCTATGCGTGATCGGCCCTCGTCCTCGGAATAGCCCTGACGCTCATTCTCGGGTATATCATCCATTGTAGATCGGCGTAAAAAGCCCGGGCGAGAAGAGGTAGGCGTCATAGTGGGCGAGTCTCGGGAGAAAAAGAAGCCACCGCCACTCATCTGCTTTGGTGTTGTAGGAGCGGTTTGTGCACCTTCAGCTTCACCGTCAAACCAACGTCGGCTGCTCTTTCTGCGCTTCTGTCTCGGTCTTCTCGAGGCACCCTCGCCGGCACTGGATTCGCCATCGGCATCGGCCTCACTGTCATGTCCCTCGAACCGCGGTTCATCGAGTTCGGATGTGGGTGACAGCGGGCCATGGGGCGAGCCGTCATGGCCGCCAGACGAGCCAGCTCCCAAACCACTCGAACTTCGGCCATGTCCCTGAATTGGCGATGCCAGTGCCCTCAGCTTGCCCATCAACGAAGAGGCCTGTGTACTCCGCTCCCTGGCCCTACCATCACCTTCGTCAACCTCCCATGACTGTTGGCGCGAATTAGCTTGTGACGGGTCGGGCCCAAGTTGTGCGGAGCGTGCGAATTGGACGCTCTTTCGTTCTCGGGGTGCGTCAGAGAGCTCGCCCTCGGTAGGGTGTCGTGACATGGGCGCAAATGGCGGGTAGTAGGAGCTGTTGGATGCATTCGACATGTGTGACGATGGCTTGGGGGCTCGAAGGGGAGGTTCAGCGTATTCGGGGGCAACGCTGCCGCCATTTGCATTGGCTGGCGCATTGAAGGGAAACTCTGAGGGTTCTTTGGGCGATAGGGGCGAGCCGGTTGGTGCGGAGCGCATTATTCTGGGGGCGGTGTCTGATGGAGAGGGATTGTGAAGGTCTTGGGTCTCGTTCCTGGGCTGCTGCATACCAGGCGGTGACAGCATTCGACCAGTCTCTTCTGTGCTCTTTGGGCCAGACGGCGACGTCGACCGCGGGCTCCGAGCCATGGGCGAGGCGTCCGAGGTGTGTGAGCCAGGCATGGTGGTGACACGGGGAGGAAGAGGTCGCGTGAGGCGAGGGGTTTGGGGATGGCTACTCGACGGGTAGTGTGTTAAACATGCATTTTAGATCGAAACGTGTTGACTTTCACTTGATGACGCTGGCGTGGTGACGATGCTACTGCCACCAGGGAAACAAGGCAAGCCGCCTTTTGATCAACGACTGTGTAATGTGTGGATTGGTGATCAGCTCCGGCCGAGAGAAGGGTACACGCGGCGCAGAGGAGATCAGTATCAGTTCACAGGGCCCTTGCACGGTGGAGTACTTTGGAATTAATCTCCCTGCTGCTTTCCGGGTGAACGGTCGCGCTAGTGCCAGCGACCGTGGTGTCAGGGGAGGGGGCTTTGGACCGCGCCGCCTTCCTGACCGCCCGCATCACGTGACTTGTACTCGTCCTCAGCCTCCGCTTGTGAAAGCACTGCATGCATGTGCCGCATACATTGGCACGCAAATGCCTTGCACCAGTCCCGCTCTACATCTAAACTCACCACTGATGCAAACATATCACGGGACTATCGTGGGGCGCAGTCAGTCTGCCAATGGCCCGTCGGCCATGTAGTCTTGTCTTATTTGGTGATGCCTCGGCCTTGGAAGGATCGTTCTTCCGTATTCCTCATCCGTACCTGCGTCATGGCCAAACATGGCCTTCCTATTGCTTCACCTACATCTTTTATCCTGATAGCCACCCGCCCTCCTATCCTTATCCCTGTCATTCTTAATCCACCATAAATCCTTATAAATCCCATGGCCGCAACTACAAACCCCCTCCATGGGACCCCACGCTCTTCCCAGCGCCCCGTTTCCTCTCATACTTTCACCATTGCGGGCATCCTCGTCGACGTCCATGGCCTCGATGAAATACCTGCTTCAGCCTCTTCGGCCGCCTGCCTATGGCTCTTGAACCCGCGCTTGCAGACGAAAGAAACCATGGAGCCAATTGCCAACCGTGTCATCACAGAATGGAACAAGCGTATACAGGAGGGCCGCGCAGGCAAGAACCCCAAAGGCCTCATAGCCGCTGCGTTCGACCAGCGCAATCATGGCTCCCGCAAAGTCGATGAACTTCATAACCAAGCCTGGAGGGAAGGAAACGAGCGACATGCCCAAGATATGTTTGGCTGCTACCACGGCACCGCTACCGACACCTCGCAGCTCATCAACCACCTCGAGTCCTACATATTCACAGCCCCGGACGCCCCAAAGATCACACACCACTATGCTCTCGGTATCTCACTCGGCGGCCACGCAACCTGGCACTGTCTGCTAGGCGACCCACGCATCACTGCCGGCGTCGTAGGTATAGGCTGCCCAGACTACACCCGCCTCATGACCGACCGCGCACGTCTATCCAAGCGAGAGTCATACACAAGAACCACACCGCCCGGCGCTGCCTTTTTCGGATCCCCTGATTTTCCACAGGCCCTGCAGGATGCCATTGCTCAGTATGATCCAGCGGGTCTAATGCTCCCAGGCACGTTCAACCCCATAGGTGATGACAAGCAACCAGACCAAGCACAATTGGATCGCATGAAGACTATTATGAGAGAGCGACTACAGGGAAAACGTATACTGAACCTCAGTGGCAAGATTGACAAGTTGGTCCCATATGCAGCGGGCAAACCCTTTCTCAACCACTTCAAGCGCATCATTGCAGAGGATTCTAGCCTTGATATCTCATTTGAAGATGTCCTCTTCGATGGCGTTGGCCATGCATTCCCACAAGCCATGGCTGATAAGGCTGCAGACTGGCTCTGCGACACCCTGACAAAAGACGATGCTGGGCCTGTATCAAGTAAAATATAGAATTCTAGTGCAATAAAATCAACCAATATATCACATCTCCATTTTCTACACATGCACAGGTCACAAGAATATCACAAGTTCCATATAGTAAATGTTAGACGTTGAATTGCTTTTCACTTCCTGACATCATCACATCGTCCCCACCACCACCACCAACCAGTCCAGTTACACTTCCTCCTCCTCCTCATTGAACTCTGAATTCCCTATCATCCACCATGAATACCAAATCAATCTCTATCCATAACGCCAATTCCCATGACCTAACTCCCAAACCCAGAAATTAAGAAAATTTTGATCTTGATCCATGTACTGAATGTGTGTTCCTTTTCTTGAATCTCTGCATCCCACCACGTGCTCAAGTTAATGATGTGCGTACTCGTTGCCCAAAATATCTATTAGACAAACGATACGAAAGGACGCCTCAAGGACGTGAAGCCGGCGAAGGGCTCGAAGCCGCCAAGGTAGCCGAAGAAGCAGGACTAGAAGCCTGCTCCTTACCCTTGCTGTTGTTGCTGGCTCCCCGCTTCTTTGCAGGCGGAGTAGCATGACGAGCTTTGATGGTGGCAATCAAGTCTGGTACTACGACGCCAGTGGGGGGTGCGAGATTGACGCGCTTGTTGTGGTATTCGGCTTCGGCGTCGGCGGCACCAGCGAGGGCGGCTTTGTTTCGAATGTCAGCTTTGTACTTTGGGATCGATTTGAAGGCGGGGGTCGGTGGGGTAGTGAGGGAAATGTTACCTTGTTCTCGGGCCTTCATGTTGTTGAAGTATTCCTGGGACTGGTTAGGATCCTTGGGATCGGAAGAGGATACAGGGTGATCAAATACCACTGTGTTGTACAACATCTCGACCAGGACTTCATCGCCTGGGACTTTTTGCTCGCGGATAGTGGGAAGGGGTGGGGAGTACCGCATACTTTGGAGGTACTCGAGGCTTCGAGGTACCTGGGCGGTTTGAGGGGTCTGTACATCTGGATTGGCGTAAGGATTCTGGTAGGGTGGAGTGCTCGGGCGGACTGGAGTGCTCGAGTACGACTGGGCGCTCAAGTCGGGTCGCAGACGATGGACAGGGTTGGTAGGCCCGTAGATTGGTGTAGGCTCGAGGATCTCTGGAGGTGAGGTACGAGACGGAAGTGGTTTGTACGGTTTAAAAACCTGAGGTACTGGTGTCGGTTCACTGAGAGCGCCTTCATACTGGAGCGATGATCCCTCGCCGTACTCTGAGCACTCCTCCATAGTAGCTGCGGGGTTGGGAGTGAGGTTAGTCTCGGGGGGTGACTCCTCACCTTTGTTGTGTATATCCTCCTCGTCGTCGCTCCTCAGCCAATTGAACTCGTCAATCTCCCTCAAGCCATCTTCCCAGGTGGGTGTATCAGGATCATTGGCGGGATAGCTGGGCGAGAACAGTGTGTTTGCGATACGGCTATCGTAGTAGGCGCTTCGAGCAGACGGGGCCCACTCCCGATTCTGCTCGCTACTCTGCTGTTGCTGGATACGTTCAGCCATGGTGTCGATGGCGAAAACAAGCCGTTGTTTAGAAAGTGGGTGAGATGTGCTGGAAGGCAACTGACCACTCATGTTTATGTACTGTGGGGGAAACTAACATAGAGTGAAGAGTGAAGAGCCAAATATGCAAAACAATTTCCCAAATTGGCTGTTTGCAAACGGTCTCCTGGTGAGTATGTGAGGCCACAGTGCGGGTGTGAGCACAATAAGTTTCAGATATCCATGGTGACTGCAGTATTTTTCTCATTTCACCAGTCACTGTATGTCCACTTTGTTAGTCTGCATTTGATACGAGAGGATAGATTGCTGCATAGTAGAAGTGGCCAGCCGAAGACATGTACTTTCACAATGCTTGGAGTTGGCCTACAACAATTCGAATGATTCGGCGATATTGTCATGTCTCCTGTAGACAATGTGAGAACATTGTTGGCCCAGTGACCTGCTCGAATACAAACAGATTCATCTACCAATGGGGGATTCTTGCTTCTCACTATTGAAGCCAATGCTGTTAGAGCTAAAATGATGTCATGTGACTCAATTCATTCATCTTCTCCGCTCACTAGCGCACCCCTCTTTGTAGGAGCAAGCGTGACCTTCCCCATACGCAGGGTCCATTCGAGGGTTTCTTTCCTTTTGGTAGAGACATCACATTCAGGAACTTGGTGGTTGGGATCCGATAGTAGAGTGAGAAATGAGTATTGTTTCGCTGATGGGTATCGTGTAAAAGCCGCTAGCTCGCCGTCCGTCCGCCAACGCTTGTTCAGCCAGAATGAGAGGAAAATATTAGAGAATTTGGAAAGCTTCATAAAAAGAATTGATCAGGAGGAGCAAGTTCAACCGTAGATTTGGGTCATCCATGAAATGTTTTCATATAGGTATGGCGTTGCTGATGGCATTTCCCGTGTCGACAGGCATTGCGAGTACGCTATTGTAATCAGTACCAAGTTTTCCAATAGATGCGTAAAATCTTACCTCTTGCCTGCATCGGTTGCACAGCAACAGCACAGGAGCGATGCTGGCCAACAAACGATCTGAGGAGCGTAAGCGAATGGCCATAGCTAGAGGAAGTTGCACTTACAGCCATGCCCACTGTGACGACGAATCCAATCGTGGGCCCGATGATCTTGCAGTGGCACGGGTTATCTTTTCTACGATTATTCAGTAAATGCAATTTGTGGTAATTAAATCGCATACTCACGTTCCGCACTGGATACAAAGCGGGATAGGCACAAAGTCGCACATGGTGAAGGTTGGCTAGAAGAAGGTGATAGGAACAAGACTAGCGGTTACTGAACTGGGTATGTGTATGTATATCGTATGGGAAGAGAGTTCGAACAATGGAACAACGCTCAGAATGTGCAGAACAAAAGTGGGTGATGTTAGGGGAAGGCTGATGCTGCCATGATTAATGCTGCACTAGTGCCCACGTCATCTGCGTTGGGTCGCGATCGCCGGATACACGCGTCAGCCCCATGCCAAGTTCTTGCTTCAGCCTGCTGCATTCACGCACCGCCCTCTTCTCAAACATTCCTTGAATTTCCTATGTACACGACTGGGGACTCGAGCGCAGTGTAGCAAGATAGCTCTCGGATGCGCCTTGGTTTTGCGCATAATCCCGAATACTGGCCAATGCAGTCTTCCGGTGTTCCTAGACACAAGAGAAGCCAACCTTTCCTTCACCGTCGCATCCGGGCAAAAGCAGACTACGGCTTACGACCAGGAAGCGCTGTTGTGCATATATCTCGACGGGCCGGTCCATGATCTCTCGTTTATCTGTATACATTTACGGGCCGGAGGATCTCATGGGTTCTCGGCAGGCAAACACCGAAGCAAGGAATCGTGCAGCATGCCGTTAATCTTCTATTTCTTCGCGTACAAGTTCCAACTCTACCGTTCTTTGGCCTTGACGTATTTTTCCTTCTAGACCATTGTCATACTTGTCAAAACATAACTTCCACAAGCCCTGATCATCTTCATTTTCCACCGCGATGAAACCTTCCCAGTTTTCGAAAAGATATCGCTTCTCCCCATTGGAGCAAATGCGAGCACCCCATGGCCCAACCAGCCCTTCTTCAGCCTCTACGCGCAGTCCATGGCTGAAGTGGAAGACTTCGGAGTCAGTGTCTAGATATATCCAATTCAACTGCGGAGGATTATCCGAAATGGTGGAGACAATGCCATCGAAGTTTGAATTTGGGAACGGGAGGTAGTAGCCAGAGAAAGGATGAAGATGCGGTCCTTGATATGTTGACAACTGAACATATAATCGGCCCCCGGAAAGTACTACATGGCTGTCCTTGAACATTTCTTTGCGGTCTTCCGGCGTTCTTTCGGTCGCTCGGCATCGTATGTGGCATTTGTCATGCTTCCATTCTGAGCTGGGGCCGTCGCTATCTTTTCTTTCAGCTTGCTCTTGTAGCGTCAAGACAGACGACGCCGTCATAGGAATTGTTGCGACGAGGGATATGAGACCGAGAACCATTTTGAAATGCTGTATATGCAGCGGTTGATCATCTATCGAGTCTCGAGGGCAATGGGTTGGAAAGGCAAATATGCAGTCTCAAGTGCCAGCACAAAGGCCGGCACCACCGACTTCAAGAGCTGAACCATAACATGGTAAAAGCAACCGTGAACCAATCATATGCTATACGACCTGCATGCAGCTATGATGGGAATCATATGCGATCATGATGCAGATGTATATTTCCATGGATAAAGACCAATCACATCGTAGTCCACGGGTAGCTCCCGGCTCCCGCTCCACTTTTCGGCCACGATGATCGACGGGAACAACAAGAATTGCGGAAGCCAATGACGACCAAAAAGCCACCAAATGCTGATCATAAGAGCGATGCAAGCTGAGATTCTGCTTTGAGCAGCGCTTTAACCGTATTGGGAGTATACGCTGGCGACAACAGGACTAGTCTCGTGCTCTATGTACTCTGTGCATTAGAGCCTCAAAAGTGCTCGAATGGCTTACAATACCGAAACCACTCGAGCGCTCTCTCGCGCGAAGATCATGTCGCCGACTACCTGTACCGATTGTACAGCTCCTCGGAGACGAGCAAGCTTCAGCTAAGCCTATGAATTAGCTTCTATCCAGCCATGTTTATGAGTGGATGCACGCCCGCGTCAGTCGTCGGACACTACACCCTCATACTCCATCCAACTCACCAACAAACTTAAGAAGCAGTGGCGTGGACAGCCCAACTACCGCAGCGCACGAAACCAAAGCCAGAGTTTCGATTGAAGGCGCCCCCTCTATCCCCAGTCTTATCTCTTCCCACGCCCCCTCTTTCCCCCATACCACCGTCACCCCCCGTTTTCGAGCTTAAAATGGCGGATTCGACTACAAAAGAGTGCGTCTACTCACATTCCTCTCATTGTCCATACAGAAGTACTGATGCATTCTCAGTCTCACAGGCACAGTCGGCAACGCAACCGGCGGCCGCGGCCTCCCGGACGTAGGCGAAACAATGGGCTCGGTAACCAACCCGGGGAACAAGACAAAGGGAAAGAAAGGAAAGGGGAAAGGGAATGAGGATGGAGAGGATGAAGAAGGGTTTGGGCTGGATAATAATAAGGATGTCAAGGGGAGCTTGAAGATTCATATCAAATTGGATCTTGAGGCTGATATTAGAATTATTGCAAGGGTGAAGGGTGATATCGCGATTGGCATCTTGTAGTAATCCTTCTCAAACAATGTTTTTAATTTTTTTTCTTCCTCTTTTGTCTCATCGAAAATGCGAGTCGTTCCTCGAACAACGTCCTCCCATATACTGGGGGCATCTCGCACGTGAATACTTGGCCAGCGCGAACCCTGATTCAAGTACGTCTCTCGACTCTTACACGTCTCATTCAAGCACAACTCTCAACTCTTACCCCAGATTCATTATACCCCAGCTCGGGTCCTGATGTACCGAAATACCACGACAACCATCATGAGAATCCAGTTACCCATCAAAAGAAAAGATATCGCTTACTTACCACCTGTCTCCTTTACTCCCATGCCCCTTTAATAAACTCACTCTATCTACAAACTAATTACCTAGATCCTTCCATGTAATCATATTCACTATACCAAGAAAACCTGCAAACATTCACCACGCCCACGTAAAGCGTACTCCCATCGATGCAACGCCCTTTTTACCAAGAGCCTCCTCCCATCTCCCCCGGCTCCCCGGTATAACATCGGAGCCTCGGCACACTCCATCCGCAGTGGGGCCCCACAATGACATATGACCTGATTCGTGCATTCACTTCCGCATTTGTAGCTGCGTTCCCGGCAAGCGGTGCACGTGGCGAGCCTCGTGGGCTCGTATCGAGGGTCAAGCGGGTAGAGTGGTGGTGACTGTTACACTATGGTGCTGGGCGTTACTAGGTCATTTGAGTGGTTATATGTGTTTGGGGGAGGAATGGTGCAAGTGCGCGGGCCAAGCGGTTCTTTTGTAGGACTGATGTTGAAAGCGTGTTTTTTTTAATGTTGGAGGAGGGTCTGGGGATTTGGGGGGTCTGGGGTTGCTGCGTTGGTGAGTTTAGTTTATTGAGAGCCGCATGGCGAGCCGGGTGCATGTCGAAAGATGGCTATTGTGTTCATGGGAAATCACCAATAGAACGGGTGGGGGAGGATTTATAAAGTCGGAGATAGTGATTTGCTATCGGCTGGTATTGTGTACCAGGATACTGCTTGAGGCTAAATGCCTGTTCGAATGTCGTTGAGAGAACTTAGAGTGTCAAGGGTGCTGGGGGTTAAGTACCAGGATAATCCTTTTCCACGGACAGATGGACAGTCGTTTTGTAATCAATTCTGATCAAGGGCAATGAGGTATGTTGACATGTAAATCAATTACCACAGGAGACATGTAAGTCTATTGTTGGAATGCAATGCGCTGAGTGTACATCAGCTGGTTCTAGGCGTCATCTTCTTCACAGGTTTTTCCTTTGTCAAACATTGTTGTGCTCCAACTTTCACCTCGGTACTGACGTAAACTTTGGGGGTG